CACACAAATTGACATAACAGTAACGTAAGACGTACCATAAAAATGGACCAATTACGATCGAGTATTCACAAAAATGGCGACCTTACGGTTCGACGATACTCAAAGTATCGATACTCAGATTGGTCAGTTCTTACGGTACGTCTTACGTTACTGTTATGTCAATTCGTGTGCGACGCCCCTTAAGTGTAGTCTACAATGAGAACTTAAGCCATAAAAGGCTTAGGATTTAAGCTTTAAATCCTAAGCCGTAAGAAGTTGACCAATCACAGTCAATTATAAGAAAAATAATTTCTTACGGCTTAGAGATTAAAGCTTAAATTTTATGGTTTAAGTTCTCATTGTAGATCACGCTTTAGAGGCTTTCTACAATAAGCAATAAATTTTAAGTCGCATTAAAATTGACCAATTACAGTGGATTATTTTTCGAATAGTCGACTATGATTGGTCAATTTTATTATGACTTAAGATTTATTGCTTATTGTAGAATGGGCTGGAAACGGAAAGCAGCACATTAATTGTTTATCATGTGCAAACTTTCATCAGAACGTGGCAAGCGTTGCCGCGTTCTGTGTACAGAAGCCATCATAGTAAAAAGTAACGATATAAGTAACGATGAATTTCGTTACTCGTTACTAAAGAAAATGTAACGCCGTTACTTTTTCGTTACTGATACAAAAAAGTAACGGCGTTATCAAATCGTTACCAAAAAAAAGTAACGAAATAGTAACGTCGTTACAAGTAACGCGTTACTTCCCAACCCTGGTAATAATCGACGTTTACTCAACGCAGATACGCTGGTCCCGCATCTGAAATTTTAAGTTTCGACACACCGGAAGGAGTGCCGGGAACGGTGTTTAGTTTAGAAGCGTTCCCAATGGGATCGAGCGCCTTGTTCCTTGTTTGGACGCGGCCTACGGAACCAAACGGTATTCTGACCGGATATAGGATTTATTATCAAGTCGTAAATGGCACGAAATTGGAAACCTTGCTCGAGAGAAAGCCGGAAGTTAGAGATGCGGAGGCTACGAGTGCTAAGTTAGCCGCGTTAGCACCCGATACCAAATATCGCGTTCACATACGTGCTATGACCAAGACGGGCCAAGGAAACAAGTGAGTGTGTTACATTAATCGCAACTATGGATGTATTACTAACATTTACTGGATCGGTGTAAAAGATTGCTCACTTTTCTATTAAATCCTCATAGGAATTTTAGGCATTAGAAGGGAAATAGAAAATCCTTGTTAGATATTTAATAAATAACGAATTTATTGTTCATTTTATTCGTAACAATTATTAATCCTTTAGGTTGGGGTAATTTCGTTTTCTTATTTTATTTGACAAACACAAATCTTTTGCATCAACTTAATGTAATGTTGCTGATACGTAAAGTACTATTTCACCTTTATCTCTTGCAATACACTAACGGTTCCGGTAATTGCATAGACTTTGGCTAGAGTTAATGTCAAGTACTTACAGAATTGATTGATGTGTTTACAGTTATTTCATCGAACAAAAGACGCGTACGTCTCAACGACCCGATGTACCGCAGTTTACGTGGGAGACTGTCCCGGTAGAAAATGGTTATTCAAATGTGAGAGTCATTTGGCTGCCAAATCTTAACGGTCATCCGGGAAGTCATTTCTTTGTCAAATATTATCTCAAAGGCGAAACTGTATCTTCAGAGACGACTCCCGAGTTCCAGTCCAACATCATTGAGGTTTGTGCACTGTAGTAGTAATAGTACTAATAACAACAATAACAATAGTAACAATCATAGAGAAAGAAGAGATCAATCCATTTAATTTGATTGAATTAAAATGTTTTGTCTTTCTCTATCGATCCTTTGCTCTTAAAACCAAAGGCAAACATTTTAAATAACAATTATTGTTACTTTGTAAATTTTAACTTTGAATGCATCTTTGAATCAGTACTACGTTTCTTCCCATACTTCTATCTTTATAGTTATTATCTATATATTTTATATCTCTTATATAATTTGTAAAGTAAAATTGCATAAATAATAAAGACTTTATTATAATTACACAGATACGTGGTCTTCAGAGTGGTGAAGTATATATAATGTCGGTAGTTGCTGTGGACGGCGATTATATAACTGAAAGCGCTCCTCAGGAAGTCGAGACGAGCAGCGAAGGACCTATTATTCAACCGAAGGAAAATGTCGCGACAGCCGGATGGTTCATAGGTAATAATACAATAAGGTCCTCTCCTTCGTGAAGTTTTCTGCATCGTGTTTCGTCAATGTACACGACATGTACACTAATGTTCCCATAGGAATGATGCTGGCGATCGCCATTCTCCTCCTGGTACTGATAGTCGTTTGCGTGATCAAACGGAACAGAGGCGGCAAATACGCGGTACACGAGCGAGAATTAGCCGCTGGGCGCGGCGATTATCCCGACGAGGGTGGATTTCACGAGTATTCGCAGCCGTTGGACACCAAATCGGCCGGCGGACGTGCGTCCTTGGCGTCGTCTCATCAGGACGGCAAGCATCCCGAATCCGATACCGATTCCATGGCAGAGTATGGCGAGGGTGACACAGGTTAGTGATAGAACTTTTATATGACTTGCAGTAGAACTATAAAGATCAGGCATATATGAGAAAAGTGCTGGTATATTACACATACATATACGGTACATATCATGAAGGACATTTCCTGCACGAATTTCAATTATCTGATATTATGATAATTGATTATTTGCATCTGTATATGCGTTATTGTGAGGTAATTGAGGTACTATCTAGGTACGTGTCATTGAACCAATATTACTGCAGTACAGGCAAATGCACTGAATCTTTCCACACTTTCATAGACAGAAAAAGCATGAAACAATAAGAGTCTCGTGTTTCACAGCGTGTTTCTGACTACACAGCAGTTATTGCCACATTTATTAAAATTTTTCTCGTATTGTCGAGTGCTTTTCCTTTTTTCTTTTTTACATAATGCACTTTGCAGCTGCAGTTGCATAAGTAACTAGTAAGTTAGTTACATCTTAATTTAAGTGACGTTTATATATTTTAACCTTTGTGTTCCACACTTTACGTTCGATATGTTGTATATTCTGTGTTTTATTTGCTTTGTCGCTTGACACGATACAGAAGGCATGAACGAAGACGGTTCTTTCATTGGTCAGTATGGCCGACATCGTAAGCAGGAACCAAATTCGCCAGCGTTTACCACTCTAGTTTAAGGTAAGTCCAATGAACACAATGAACACATAAGTTGTTGCCACACTCGTTCTTGTCAAAGCAGAATTCAATATCGATTTTCTTCACAAAAATTAATATTATTCCACATATATATCACAAAGCTGCATGTTAACACTTATTTCATTGTCTTTACGTATTACGTATTATTTGCAATATTATTAATGGAAATATTTCTAGATCCATGCTCCAATTTCAAATTGATTGAAAAATCTGTCTGATTGAAAATTGAGATAAAAGCTGCGTACAGAAAATTCAACCCGACCGTTTCATTCCAGGACGCTTCACGGAAGATGGTTCTTTTATCGGACAATATGGACCTAAAGGTAGACCAGAGGAAACGCCACCCATTCCAACTGGTACTATGGCCACGTACGTGTAACCTTTGCAACCAGCTTAATCAAGTCGCATAAAGAAAGATCGAAAGGAAATAAAAAGAAAGAAAACCGTTTTCTCTTTACGGTTGAGGATTCCAATCCTCGGCTATTGCAGCAGCTCTGCTATGCACCTTGCGCTGGGCGCAATGTCCAACACTATACTGCCAATTAGACTTTGGTTTTGGGTTTTATAATTCTCATAGAAATCACGACTGTTGTCTTACGCACTCACTTCAGGATGCGAAATACTTCCTGATGCGGCGTTCAAATAACGATATCATTTGCATCGCCAAGAAGTGTCAAACATTCCCAATTATTCATTTAATTAGCTTCTCCAAACACGGTGAGAAACTAGTTGCGCGGAGAAAAGCTTGCATTACGATTATCGTTGTTGTTCGATCGGCAATTAATGACGAGTGCTCATGCGTTTTACAAGCATATCTCTATCTTAATTATAAAACCCAAGAACTATAGGTGTTTCATAGCGTGCAAGCTATTTATGGAAAATAGTAGCGTAGAAACTATTCTAGCATTGACCGTAATATTTGAACAGAGCCAGGTTGAGTTAGACACTTTGATTGGTGATAAGGTATACAAGTTGCATCCGTGTTATTCGAACTCGCGCGCAAATGTGAAATACTTTTAAGACTGCGTGTAGTATCCGATGTTTGACGACATACTGACGGGAATTCTTCACTGTTTTAGATACATAAATATCGTTAACCCTTTACGCTCCAAGCGCCAATCTGATTGGCTCGGAGCAGTCTTGGCATTCCACTCCACTTACGTCGACTCAGTAGCAAATGAAATGTTATCGAGTTGGCAAAATGCTAAGCAGTAACAATACAATTATGCTAAATTCGAAGAAAATTATGGACTGTTGATAAATTTATTCTTCTTATTCGCAGTTTGATAGTGTTCGCGAGCAAGCTGTCAACATCGCGCAAAAACGTCTGCGGAGCGCGAAGGGTTAAAACTAACGGGTGTGAATATGCGAATTTTATAACGAATATATGGAAATTATCTGATGAAATTCTAAATGCACGAGATTAATAGTGATATATAGTAAGTGACACGTTAGTTACATGCAATCTTAAAAAGAGGGAAGGAAAGAAGAAATGGCAGAAACAATGTGAGAGATAGTGTCGCAATCTGGCTTCGACTGAATTTAACTTTAATCTTTAACGGACGGTTATTCTAAGAATGTTTAGCCACAATCGATTTTTACTCTGCCGAGAAAGGGCCAAATCTAAACGAACGAATAATTATCTACGACTATCACGCACTTACACCTTCATTATTAACAGACATACACGTACACGTATGTGCGCGCGTGTATGCGCGAATAAGGATATTCGAAAGATAATATAACGGACGGAGTAATATTAAAAAGACGATTGAATGTGCACCACGATAGGTAACAAAGATCACAAGGCCTCTAAGTAATTGTTGCTTTTGTATGTAAAACATGCTTTGATGAAAACTCTTTTATTTTTATGAAGATTTACTTTGCTTTTTCGGTAATTTTTTATTATAATCCACTAATTATAAGATATGATGCTATATATAATTATTTATAATATATAAAGAAAAAAAATATAAATATATATATATAGAGAGAGAGAGAGAGAAAGAGAGAAAAAAGAAGAGAGAGACATTATATATATATATTAATTATGAATTGATTATTCTTAAAAGAATGCGACGTTCTCATCAGAGCAGTTATAGTTAATAATTATTAACGTCTCGATATACGGGACATTAAAGAAACATTAGAGATCTGTTAATTCTTTTCGAAGCTATGTGTACAATTTGTTTAGACTATTAAGTTTAGTGTTAGTCGACGCAGTGTGTACAGGTTGTCTGCAAAAGTGTCGCAAGCAAATATGTCAGGTACAAAGATAAAGAGAAACAAAGATAGGTACAAAGTGTATAATATTTATAATATGGATATGCGCGGAGAATCACGAGTATAGTACCTTTAAATGATATATCTCACTTTACCAGACGAACAGGACCAGGCTGAGCCTTTTTTCACAACGGATTCTTGTAAAGAATGTCCTAGACTGGGTGCAGAAGTATCTTGTAATGCGATTGAAAAATATTTGTTAGGGTCTTTTTTGCCGAGCATCCTGTACAAGTGACTTGGACGTCACAAGATCATTAAGACGGCTCACAAGTAATTTTTTTATACCATTGTTAATTTAAAAAATTGACAGACACTGCTAGTAAATGTGTGGCGACTGTATTTTTGAGTTTGGAAAAAGAATTAATAGCCGCGAGTTCTCGTCGATGTTGCGCGCACACACCGACACACATCACAAACACATAGACATATACACATGAACATAATAAATATAATAATGATATAAAAATCAGGTTAAATAATTAAATTATCGTAACTATGTAATGTGCTACGTAATTTTCCAGCTTTGTAATAATATCATACAAGTCTTAGTATTGTCCAATTATATTGTTACACTGATTTAAATTATGTTAAAATGTATAATTATAGTGTGCCTCTCGAAGAATTTGAAGGATACATACTTGGGATATTTAAATTTAAAATCACTGGAATATTTTTACGAATCACTATGTACGCTTTAATACAGCTTAAATTGATAACGATAGTCGCGGTTTAATTATTTAATCTGATGAAGGAACACACGTAGATGATGCCGCAATGCTCGTCATTCGTTGCTATTGAAGATATATATATATATATATATATATATATATATATATATATATATATATTTTTTTTTTTTTTTATTTATTTCTAGAATTGGTTTTGATCATATCAATTTGGAGTCGAATAAAAAGATTAGAGTGGGTGCTGCGAATGCGTGCTAGACAGTCGCTCGATAACGACTTAAATTGAGCCTACTTAAAGTTTCTTGTTCCACCACAGTCATTAATCCTCTTTTTTTAATTGCATAACATTTGCTACTACTCATTGCGACGATAAATGAGCATTTTTACATTATTACACGTCCATTACGATGTTATTGTATATTAACGTTAAGAACTTGCGTTAATTGGACAGAGCGATGAACTCACAGGCGGTTGCGACAACGCTAAACATTGCGTATCTCAACAGATAATGCTACACTCAATATTGATTCGTTTATTTTTGGAGAAATTGTTTACTTATTTGCTTATTTGATATGATTGACCGCGATCTATAGATCTGATGTGCACCTAACATTTGTGTGCGTTGAACGTTATAATGTGCGATATTAATGTGTGATGTGAAAAAAGGCGATGATATCGGTTGGACGCGGAAGGATCTGTTATTTTTCTTTGATTGGTAGTAGAAAGCGTCTCACAGAAGTGTGTACTTTTCATTTCGTTCGACAGATATAACAGCTCCTCTGCGCCAATCTACTTATCGCGGATGCAACCAAGCGCGCAATCTTAGATCTGATTATTGAGACATCAACAATCATGTACACTTTCGTGTACAGTACGTAGCATTGTAACTTTGTATTTTTTATTTATTAATAACTGGATATACACGATCAATTCAATTGGCAATAATCATGACGAAGTTTATGAGAACAAATACACATGTCACTAGGAATCTCGATGTCCAAGTCACATACAACACACACACACATATACACATATATAAAATACACACAAAACACGAGCGCGTTTCATATTTTAGAATATTATCTTTTGTTTTTTATTAGTGCTAGCCTCAGTATTTACTAGCTATAGCGGAGTTCGTTCACTTTTGCATGTTATATAAACCATCAGTTGGACTACGTTGATCTTAATGTTATATATATATATATACATAAAACTTCCAATAATTTCGCACGAACAGGCCGTCGTGCTCTCGTACGCTAATATATCCTTTTGTATTTCTTTTTCTTTTTATAGTTTTGTACTTTATGTATAGTGAAATTCTTTGCGTTTTTATGATCGTATCTGTAACAATATGTATTTTATGGCAGCCGTCGATCCCTCGACTAAGTTCCCGAAGTATTTCCGTTCACCTCCTCGTCAGAAGGGCGAGACGAACAGTCTAATCGTTACTCTGCTTGATATTGTAATGTTGTGTTAGCGAAGAGGAATGCGATTCGTGACTTATTGCTACCAAAAAAGACAAAAAAAAAAACAAAGAGAAATGTCCACTGTACAACAAGCACACGTCATCCCCCGAGAAAGGGAGGCGCAACCTGGACTCTTTTTATAGCAAACTTTTAGAATCTCTATTATTTCTTAATATACGAAATGTGTTCATTCGATTATAGTTTGATCAACTTCGTCGATCGTAGCGCCTTATTCTTACCGTTAAGTGATAATTGATTAAGGAGAGAGTAGCTCTCGCACCTCTCGCATTGTCAGAGACTTTGATCCTTCCGGTACGACCGTCGACGAACGTTGACGACCGTCGAGAATACAGTTGATCGCAGTTAATAACTCGATTGTGGGTCGCGTATGCGTTTCTTATCAATAGCTTTGACCCGAGTCAGATTACCAACATTTACTTGTCGATCGCCACGGGGAATATGATATTGCGTCTTGATGTATATGACATAGGAGTCTAGGTTGCAATACGATATTCAGCGCGATAACGCATTCGCTCACATCGCGAATGTTGCTTTGCAAATAACATCTATTGTTTGCCGAAATTTTTGTACGAATCATGCACGACGATTTCACGATTCGATTGATCGCGCGAAACTCTTCACGATTTCTGCGCGCAGGACAGATCCTCGATAATATCGGATACGATGAATACAGTACCGGAAGGTTAATAACCATCGATTGTTACTTAAAAAGAAAAAGAAAATCGTGAGTGTCACTATGGGACTTGCTATGAAAAGAGTCGACCCCGGAGCGGGATTTCGATGTTGAAATTCGCTCGGCGTGTGCCCGCTTATATTCTGCGAATTCTTCGGTATACATATATGTATACACACACATATATATATATACATACACATATGTATACACACACACATACATACATATATTATATTATTACCTCGATAATACTACGACGATGTAACGATGCGTTTTTCACCGTTATATTACACGCGGGGGGATGTAGAGAAGTATTCCGCATATATATTCGTGCATTCTCGCATCGGCATCAACACGAAACGCTTTAAGTAACTTTTCTACGAAGGGAGAGAACCGCAGAGTCTAGAAATAGTATGTGCAGGGCGCTCCGTCCATCCACGTGTACGCATTTTCAGCGATCGGCGCGAACATCGGGAAAACGAGGAAAAAAAAAAAGAGAGAAAGGAACAGGCACGAACTGGCCTAAAGCCGCCGTCGCGAGCATTTCCGTCTGCGTACACGAGCGGTCCGCTTATCGATCGGACGGACCACCCTGTAGATCGTCTCATCTTCTCGCAAAGCAGCAAGTACTATCGGGATCGGATCACTGCGTTGTACGATAATTCAAGCGATACGTCTTAACTCTTAAGTTACCCATTCACGAAACGATCGCATTGAATATGCGCGCGTCCCGACGTTTGTCCGCATAACTCCCATGTCAATAAAAGTAAGGAAAAAAAATGGAAAAAAAGGGAAATAAACGAAGGAAATCCATCGAGGAATCGCACTCGAGAATCTCACTCCGTTCTCATCTCTCCGCTTACATTGTTCTCGCCGGGCTGCGTGTGATCCACTGACCGGACAGAAATCGAGCGAGATGTGACCGATAACGCGATTATGCCAGACGGGTTTTTTGTGCCCGTGCTCTTGCTCCTGCGAGCTACTCGCCTCTTCGTTCTTTCACTCCGCTCGTCGTGGTTACGTGCCGCGAACGAATAAACGAAGAGACAGACAGGCAGGCAGACCGATTGACTGACTGAGCAGGATGCAATCGCACGATCGTTCGTTGCAAAATTACTGTAACTGCGATCTACACGAGTCGCTTGGCGCGAAAACGCTTGCATCAAATTGTAACTCTGCGATGATCTCGCCTAGTTTCGAGATATCGTGTCGATAAAAATACTTGAATCGCGATAACGCGGTTTGTAACATCACACAGCATGTAACCCGAAGGAAACGACATTCTACTTGCTTCATAGAATCGGGATTTGATAAATACAAAAGTGACTCCAGAAATTAATAACGCGATAATTATATATTATATAATAATTATATACATAATCATAATGAAAAATATATATTATATAATATTGAATATATTATTATATAATAATTATGTCGGATTAGAAAAAGATACGGCCTATTAATAGAGATTACGCGCGTGGCATTCTTAATTTCATGGCATATCGCGTGGTTAACAAAGTACCGCACTTGGTTAAACAAAACGATCGCAATAACGTGAGAAATTAGTTTCGAGTAATAAGACGCTCTGCCGAGCACGATCTACGCGTGCTACATGCGATACATGAAGCGGGCAGGCAACGAGCCGTAGACCATCTGCGAGCAGAGCTAGACAGCGCTGGTTTATTCCTGATCGAATGTTTTTGCACAACCTCCGCGATCCTAATTGAATTCATTCGCCGGCTACTCTGGCGAGGTTGCCGCGCAAGAGATACGTGAAATCGTGCAGTGCAGACATTCTTCGTTGCTCTCTTCTACATTCCGCAGAAAGTGTCTATCGATGTATCACGAACATTACTCCTCGAGTATTTCTCGGATTGCGTGTGAAGATACGCGACGATTCGGAATCTTGTTGGAGAACAAAATCTCGCGTGTAACTACGCACACGGGGAAAGATAAAGCGGAAAAATAACGAAAGACAGAACTCAGCCGCACGGAGTAACAATGAGTCACTTGTTAGGTGGCCCATCCCTCGACCGTTGGGGGGATACAATGGATACTATTATATCGGCTATTTATCGAAGATCTCTTCGAGCCAGCGATAGGTAGATCAATCTCTACAAATAGATCCGATTCAGCTGTGTTTGTCGACAAATGCATATTAAGCGCGACGATATAACTGTAAATTAGCGCGACTTCTTTTATGCCATGAGTTTTATCATTCGACAGAGAAAGATTCTTGCTCTCTCTCCCTTTTCTCTCTCTCTCGAATAACGAGCTCAATGGAAGCAAACCGAAAGCTACTTTGTGGCAAGAGTACATCGCACGAGAACGTTTATAGCGAATTAAGTGCTCGTAGCGAGTCGGACGTAATAATGATGCAGACGCGAGACGACACGGAAGTAAAATTCATTTATCAGTAGAACATAAAAAGCGAGAGAAAGGAAAAATGATCGAAAAGAAAGAGAGAGAGAGGGGACATGAGAGAGAGAAAGAGAGAGAGAAAGAGAGAGAGAAAGGACAAAGGACCGACGATCGAACGATAGACGTCAAAGAACTGGTTCTTTCCAGCAAGATTTTGCTTCACCTTCTTCGCTAATTCGCGAATTCTGATATTCATGTGTTTGCACAAATGATTCTCTTGGTCTTCTCTCGCACAAAACGCTTCCAGCCGAAAGTCCCGCATTTTTCACGATTAGATTGCGCGATAGCGTGTTAAAAACTCGGAGAAATTGATCGTTGAATCGTACGCGCTGCGAATAAATGCGAGGTGGAGTAAACTGGAATCATCGTGGAAGCTTACTTCTACGGTGATCGAATGACCAATCTTCATCATGAGAAGATTGTTCACTCGGTGAACCAGTCATGAGTCACAATTTGAGAAACTGTCATTTACTTCCTCGCGGTTTCTAACACGTGTGAGCGTCCACTAATCTAACGTGCAACGTTAACGTTCAAGCTGCATGTGAGGTGGAATAAACTGGAGAGAGCTTATCTCTCTCAAGCGATTAGTATTCGATATAAGGAATCAAGTTTTTTCAACAGATTTTTCGTTCACTTCCAATCTCGTTGTTTGGATTCTTATTGTATGTTAACCACTGACTGACTATCTACCGTCTGACGCGTCACAATAGCTCTCAGATTAAAATCTTTTCTAATTGATCGACGCATTGATCTCGTTGGAGATCTGTGCTTTTCAGCTGGCTCTTGATAGTTTACCACCTCTGCGCAGCTCTTCACACGCGATAACTCGGCGAGAGGCTGTGGGGCCCGCGGCGATCCTGCGGCGATCATGCATTGTGTACACAGCCTTATCCCTTAGCGCGCCAGCCCGCACGGGACGGCCCGAAGCGCGTCTGCAAGATGTCTATCTCGCTCTCGGAGAGGTCTCGCTGCTCGCAGCGGGCTGCCGCGGGCCTTCCTCTCATTGAGAGTCAGTCAGTCAGTCAGTCAGTCAGTCAGTCAGTCCGCCGGAGCGACGCGGCTCGCGCGCATCGTCTGTGTCGTGGTCTCCGTGCCTGCGCATCCTTCGTTTTTACCGCGTGCGTTGAAATCACCGACCTCCTCCGGACTTAACGTGCTTCGGTGCAGCGCGCCGAATCGCGGTGTTGCGAAATCCCCGATTTTGAATCGCGTCGAATTGCAGGGCTCACACGCCGCGCACACACGGGACACACGCACACGACGCACACATATACAACGTGTACACGCACGCACGCACGTTCGCATATACATACTCGCGCGGCCAAGAGCGGGCCATACGACGCGTACGTAGGCGCGCACATCGGGAAGACCGGATTGTCTTCGTCACCGTCGTCGTCGTCGTGCGTTACGCGCGCATTCGGCCGCAAGAAAGAAGAACTTCCTCGCGGAGCGTGCAACACCTGGCGGTAGCGGCCTCGGCGGGGACGGCGATGGCACTGAGCGGCGACACGTCGCGGCCAATTACGCTCTCGGTCGCGGTCGCCCTGATCGCGGCGGCGTTGGTCCTGCTCGCGGATCGTCCGGTGATCGCCCGGCACCAACATCGCTCCGGCAATGGTCATAAGCTGTCCGGTGACATCTCTCTTTGGATCGACCAGCAGCAGATCAAGATGTTCAGCGGTGAGTCCTGTGTGTGAGACGGGTTGCGATTTAATTTTCTGCTTGTTTTCCATATTAAAGATCAGTGAATGAGGAAGCGCCAATTGAAGGCGTCGATCGGCTCTGCAAATGTCGGTCAGCTTAAGGTATTATCGGGAAAAACACGTCAGATCCACCTTGGACAACTGTCCTCGACGTCTGAAAATGTAGCTAATGTGTAATACCAATTGAGACCGTGTAATAATTGAACCGTCATTTTTATCACGAGCGCAGGACTGGCAATGGAAATCTATGCCATCACCGAAGGCAGAGTGCTGTCTTACCTATTGGATCCGGAATTCGAGAATAAGGTGCCGATCATCCCGAGCGAGGTGTCATACGTCAACTTCACGTGGAAGTCTGGAATAAAAAAGTATCATTACAACTTTTACCAATTGAAGTCGTACGACGAGACCATCCTGAAGACTCCATCCATCACAATCAAGACGCAAGGACGAGTGCCTAAGAAACCGAAAGGTAAAGGATGTAGGAGGCACTGATCATAATAATAATTAATTGCAAATAACAAATATAATAACTCGCAATTTAAAGCGATTCATCATGAAATTGAATTATACTAAGTGTATGTATATGTGTGTGAGAGAGAAAGAGAGAGATCAAGGAACACGCACGAAACGTTTTCTCGTTGCAGAGTTCAGCGTTCTGCTGCCTTGCACTGGTAACAGTTCCGGCATAGCGCAATTTGGGATCGGTCTGATGATCGAGACACGCAAGGGAAAGCCTTTAAACGGGACGCCTCTTGTGCTCAGCCTCAGGAAAGAATGCACCGTACGCGGTGAGTGCGTCTCTGTCCACTCTTCCTTTAATTGCGCGTACGGTTCTGCATCGGCGGTTAAATTAGTCGCCCAATTTTCCGCTACATGTTCTCCGTCTCAGACGGAGAGACACAGTCTCAGAATCTCAGCCTTGGTGCGCGCACGCACGTTAACGCGCCGTTTTGCTCGCGAGAAAAAGAGAGAAGGGAAGAGCGAGCGAGCAAGCAAGCAAGAAAGAGAAAGAGAGAGAGAGAGAGAGAGAGGGAAAGAACGTAGCGTGTTCGCGAAATCCGGTTCGCACATGGCTCACGTTCCGACTGCTTCTTCTTTTTCATTTAATCGATAGCGTAGCATGTACGTACCTGGCGTGCGAGTGCGCACCGGCTTTCGATACCGCTATGTAACGAGGGATTATCTGTCTATTGTGTGGCGCGAAGAAAAACGACAGGTCTTTGACGATAGGTGTGAAACAGACATGTCAAATCTCCAACTCGGTTTCCCTGGAAATCCACGTGTTAGTCGGATTTATGGGCATGAAATCCTCCAGAGGACCTTTCTTCGGCCGTTGACTATTATAACAGTCAAGCGGGGGGTCTTTGCTCGTACCCACAGAGTTATAAGTTATTTAGTCGACTATAATGTGGTGACAGGTCAACTGCGCGATCCCGCTATGAATACAATCACGCAAAGCTTGTCTATCTTGTTCACCATCTATGTGGCATTCTCGTGTTCGGGTCTTCGCGTTTAGGCTGAATCTCCCCTGTGTATATATAGGATATCTGACAATTATTGATATATCCGTTGTGCGCAGGTAGAAAAACTCATCGAACTGAACAAAAAATTCCTCTTCCATTCTGCGAAGAACCACATAAAGTTTCAAGTTATTGATTAAGGAGGTGAATTGGTTATTGGTGAATGATCGCGCGAGATACGATAGATAAGCTGTATTGGCGACGCCTGCCGCCGTGTGCTTGTACATCAGATCAATCTAAGCAAGAAGGTCCTCCATTATTCTGCAAATGATCATATAGATTTTTAGTTATTAATTAAAGAAGATCAGTGCATGGTTGTGCGCGATAATGCAGCGATCCTCTTTAATTAATAACTATGCATAGTAATAAAATATGCATAGTTATTTGCGAAATGACACAGGACTCTTCTGTTCAGTTTATTCTAATGTACAAGCGTGATCACTCACCAATTTTCTTTGATTAATAACCCAAAATTTTATGTGATTATCTGCGAAATAGTAGAGGAATTTTGTGTCCAGTTTAATAAATTTCATCCGCATACACAACAGATATGTCAATAATTGTCATATACCCTATATAATAATGTCCAGAGTTAGGTTCTTAAGACCTCTATATAATGTCCAGAATTAGCTTCTTAAAGCCAATTCTCTAAGATCAGTGCTCTTAGTACTTAAGTACATTGGTACACTAAGAAAAAAAAGCGGTTGGATTAACAAAATTGGCGGTCACCGGCCATCAAAGAAATATAAGCTTTAACAAGCTTTATTTTAAGATATAAGTACATTGAGAAAAAAAGCGGTTGGATTGAAAAAATCGGCGGTCACCGGCCATCAAAAAAATATTGGATCTATTCAACAAAATACATGTTAATGTAACAATAAGTTGCGTTGAAATCTACTATATCAACGCAATTTATTGTTGCATTAACATGTATTTTGTTGAATAGATCCAGTATTTTTTTGATGGCCGGTGACCGCCGATTTTTTCAATCTAACCGCTTTTTTCTTAATGTACTTATTTCTTAAAATGAAGCTTGTTAAAGCAAGATCTTAAAGATTTTAAAACTGTTTCAGCCGTAAATTTCTATTGGCGACTTTGAAGCTCGATTTCTTAGAGTCTTGGAGTTCAATCATCAATGATTCGTTAACGTCTCGGCAATTGCTGTAAATCACAAGTCACATTAAGGAAATAATTTGACCACGGTTTAGAGAAATGAGAAATTTGACGAATTACCGAACATTGCCGTAACGGAATGTTTGCACTCTCACGTGGTGGGGTGCAGCTCTAATGACACATTTCGAAGTCGTGTTTGCACACCTGCTCGAATCCCTTGTTACTCGTTAGGCAGGGATACGGGTCGCCTTTGTGAAGCGTATCTTTTGTACGACGAAACGAACAAGCTCTTCTCCCTCGGGGACTCGGATTGATGCTATTTTGAAACGCACCTGTCCGTTCATATAATTGCGTTACTAACTTGTGGAAAAAGTCGACAGAGGACTTAATCGCTTTTTGCCATCTTGAGCGTTAAGCAATAAATACGTCGCTTATTTACTAAACACGTCATTTATTATTTTTCACGACACATTCGGTGACTCGAGAAAGATCAGCCGTGTCATTGATGTTAAAAAAATCAGGGAAAAGATACTCAGACCTTTTTCACTCAAACGTTCCTGCGAACATGCCACTTCTGTTTCGTCGTATTTCCCGCGACGATATCAGTTTCGTCCTTTTCTGGCGTTTGCAGCATTATTCGACTCGCCGCCTCTTCCTCGAATCGTTGTTCGCCGGCGAATTATCAATTGAGCGTCTAATTGTCTACTTAATTTGAAGCACGAACCAGTTCTGCCTCTTTTACGTTATCCTCAGTTCTTTCAATCCCTGTGCATTCAAATTGCCAATTGTCAAGCCAATTCGAGAAAGTTCGCATATTATCGTAATAATTTGTTTGGAACATTTCCGTTTTACTAATTGATTGTTTTGCATGATTGTTTTCATGAAGAATTGTCGTAGTGCGCGTTTGAAAATGACTAGAATTCGCTACGCAAATCCGCGTGAAAAGAGCGTCGGCAGATATCGATCGACGTAACACGCAAATTATTTTTAGCCATTCGAATTCAGACGCGGGCGTAACGGAAAATATGACGCTCCAACGCTTCATGATCGTGCTTGCGATATATCTATCATCGTGATTACTTGTAATACGGCGCATCGATCGATACAAACACGAAATTGTTATTAAGCGTTCATCACACGATCCGCGATTGTATGAATGATTTCGTACATGCTAACAGAAGTTTATGAAGTGGGATCTCTCTATATACAACTATGTAGAGAGGTTTTTGAAATTATTTTCTTGCTGTACCTATACATGATCTTATTGATCCTATTTACGCGCTTTCCAAAAAATTTCGCAAAAAATGACTCAATCTGCGTAAAATTGCATACATTAAAATAACGTAATCTTATCGGATCAGCATGAGGTCATGTTTGCTATCTCTAAAATGTTCTTTCTTTTTAATTGCGTATCAAGATAATTGAATATGCTAAATACGCGTGAGATTGTGCGTGCAAATACTTCAATGTCCGTTTTCTCCTAACTTTGATTCTACTTTTGCAGAGGCTAATTCTGGTCTGTGCCCGGACGGCTATCTAGGCCCACCGGCTTGCAAGAAAGCGCTCTGTTATCCGAACTGCATGAACGGAGGCAATTGTACGGCGCCAGGTATATGCTCGTGTCCGCCAGGATATCAAGGACCCTATTGTGAAGGAGGTATAACAAACGGAAAACAAATTAATGACGTAAGAAAGTATCGATCTGAGATAAACATACCACTTATTTAGAGTGTTATCGAAATGTCCTGCTTAGGCGTATTTCTCGATCAGTTTAATTACTAATATGGTCCGGGGGTGCGCTGGTCACGTTTATTTAATTATTTGTCCACTGCAGCAACACACCAGTATCTTAACAAATACTGAATTTTCAACTTTCTTTAGGCAAAATTTTAGTAGTATAATACTACAAATAATATTATAAGTTCTCTCAATTTCCGTCTTTACATATCAGCTAGCTGTTATTACTATAACGATCCATTTGAGAGAGATTTACTACAGCACAGTTCCTTTTATTAATTTTCATTACATGATCTTGTAACTGCAATTCCTAAAAAGAATTAAGAATATCTCATATTACATAAATTCGTTATTTGGAATTCTAATGACTTATTTCTCCAAGAGAGCTGAAAATATCATATATTTAAAAGAAATAACTATAATAAAATCAGAGGAGTCTCTTCAAATTGACTCATCGCAGTTACAGAAAATAACTCATCACCCATGTACAAATTACAATATACTCGTACAAACTACTAAGCTGCGTCGTCTAGAAATGCATCCTTATATCACCTTGGACACGGATATGGCTGTTTTACAGCCGAACTTGATGAGATTCGTTAAAGCCTGGTAAAACGGCGCCTGCTCAGCGCCGTGGTCGATGCCGGTATCATGATGTTCCTGCTCCTCATCGCGAAACTGTTTGATCGTCTCGAGTATCTCCTCGCTCACGTGCTCTTTGCTTTCCATCAGCGTGCGCAGCTGGTCGTTGTAGTGCTCAACGATCACTGTTTCTACGGCCACGGTGCACGCCATCGCCGCTTTCTCGCCCATGAGAGCGGTACCGGCGCCCAGAACGAAGCCGGCGACGTTCCAAAGTGGAGTGAGAACGGTGGGTCTCACACGGTACTTTCGGATCAGCTCCTCGAACTTGGCGCGGTGCCGCTTCTCTTGGTCCCACATGTGCTGTATAGTCGGTCCGACCTGCGTTCTACCTGCATTCGCGTGAAATAGTCAGATTGAGGGTGTTCACAACCGGTGGAGATTCATCGAGCCGTGGAACACAGGCGACTCGCAATCGGGCTAACTCGGGTGTTCAATGGCTTTTCATTAATCAGTGTATCTGTGTGCCTAAAGTTCCTCTCTGTAGAAATATACAGGAGATCTTGAGATGCACACTACTCCGGTGTTTCACCGCCACTTGTGGCACGATTGAGTCGTCCACGTACCATGGCTTCTTAATTCAGCTCAGCCGCTTTCGAGCGATTTTACCTAGGACAGCCATTTGTCCGGCATAGATCCTGTCGGCTCCCAATTCGCCAGCATGATCTACCCTGATTATTGTGTCGAGTGTCTTTTTAGACGTACATGTAGCTGATGTTGTTGACGTGCTGGTCAGTCGCGTCCCCAGTCGTCCAATTTGCAACATTTTCCTGTAAAATTAAAAGAGTATTCAATCCTGATCCCTCGTCGCGATTGGTGTTGTCAAAAGCGAGAAAACGCATAGCCAAAATTCTTGTGCGCCATTTATAAATTTATGTGGGAGAATACTTGAGATTGCTTGAGCACACTTGTAGAATGCTCCGAAAACTATCCTTTTCCCGTGCTTGTCAATAAACAGCCGCAAAATGAACTAACAATATATTTTTTTATTTCGAGGTACTTTGTAGGAATTTTAAGCATGCATTTTCTCACTTCTGACGTCATCAGTCAAAAGTTGCGCAGCGAGTCAACAACTTTGAATTAAAAATTAAAAATTTGAGAAAAAGTACACACACGATGATACGCGAGCCTCTCAGTGTCGCCGGCGATCATAGTATCGAATGATTTCAGGTATTTGTGATCAAAAGTGTCTGAATGGTGGGAAATGCGTACAGAAGGATATCTGCGAGTGTCCCAAGGGTTATTTCGGCACGCGCTGTGAATTTTGTAAGTATGAATGATCATATCATCAAGATTCTCTTGTACGTTTAAAGTCTCTCTCGAGTTTTGAAGTTTGAAGAATGCCTGTCACTCCTGTACCTTTTCAGCCAAATGCTTCATACCGTGCGTAAACGGCGGCAAGTGTAAGGGAAATAACATATGCAGATGCCCGTTGGGATTCAAAGGAGATCATTGCGAGATCGGTAGACGCTCGTCGCAGCGATCCACGTGTACGGCGGCGTGCAGAAACGGAACCTGCCAGACGGACAATACATGCCTCTGCAATAAAGGCTGGTACGGAAAGTTGTGCAGCAAAAGAAAGCCATGGGCTTAGTAGCTGATAACGAGTATTCTCAACATCAATTTCCTCCACACCGATTGAGAAAGGATTTATGAAGATGTTGTTTATAAATTGCCAGAGGAACTATGACAGAAAATCACATTTATAATATGTGTACAGTAGACTGTATTTAAAACGACGTAAAGGAAGGTTTATATTAATAGTTAGTGAAGAATCTCTCATGATATTAGAATGACATAGAGCTTATCGTAGGATTCTGTTCTTTTATTTAATGTGACAATATGAATGAGACAAACACGACAAAGAAACCCCATAAAAATTTGTCTCCCAACTAATTTTTCAAGCAGTCACTGAAATGTGACCAGCTATTTACTACTATTTATAGTTAACTTACTCTGTTTCAGATGTGATATGTAAAGCTGCTTTATGTCAGTTTATAACATTATTTTATATATATATATATATATATATATATATATATACATATATACATATATATATATATATATATACACACTTAGTTATTAATACTTTTATACTGTAGATGTAACAATTGCAAGAAGGAAAAAAGAATGAAAATATAAGATGAAATGTATTTTCTAACGGTCAGAGAGCATATGTTTCTATGATGTAACTGGATTCCCTGTTTAAGATGATGACAAAACGATAACATCTCATAAGGCTTCGCCTGAATCTCAATAAAAATCAATGCGAATCAATAATGATGATTGATTTTAAATTTCAGATTGAGTGTAATCTTATCGTCTTAAATATCATTTTAAACATGGTAAACTATGGGATAAATTAATGACTGCGTTCAGCAGAGAATGGTGCTTTGCAACTGTTACAAAATTCACGAATCTGATTGTATGCTTTTAATGTTGACTGAATCTAAAAGCAAATATCTGTCAGATTCATAAATTTTATAACAGTTACAAAGCAGCTTTCTCTGTTGAATGCAGCCAATATTTCTTTTCTCCAGATATACATCTTAGAATGTAAACAATTGAGTTTAGCTTTATCCAGCTTATTTTCAGTTTTACTATAAATTTGTGAAAAACATTACCATAAGGAACAAATCTATCACTTGTAGGAACCATGTATTTCGAAAGTGACGCGAGTGCAGCTTCGAAAATTGATTTTCAATTACATCCAATTGAAAAATGTTGCTTGTATTTCGTAATCATAACCACGACCAGTTTTTAAAATTCCTGATGAGAAAGCGGAGTTTCGCCCAAATAGTACCACGTTACATTAGGAAATACTATTTCGAGTAATCGAAGTGGAGAGATAGAGAGACGTGGGCAAACAATGATGACACATATAAGGTAACCACATTCGGGGAGCACATTACCGACACTGCCGCGTCATGCTATCTTAACTGCTCCTTAGATATAGAACAAAGATGGAACGACACGAGAACGCTAAATAGCGTTAATTGCGTGCTTTCTCCGAACGCACTCGTAAACGCGCGAGCATTTACACCGCAAACAACTTGACGTCTCACACAACATACCGACAGAATCTCCGGTAGAATGAGAGAAATGAGGCGATTACCGGCGCGCCATCGGAGGATCCTCGAGCTCGCACAGACGGCAACGGGATGAGATACGTTGCGGTGGCGGTTAGTCGAACGGAAGCGGTACGCATAGGTTATGTCAGGCCGACTTTACGTTCAGTCGCGCCGCGGACGGTAGTCACGTGTCCCACCGACCAATGGCCACGGCCGTAGTCGGTCCGCCATGACGCGTGCCCCACGGGCTCCCGCCAATCGCGCTACCCTCGGCCTGTATACATGTATATGGCGTTGGCGTTCTCCCGGATCGCTGCTGCCGTTTCACGGATTTCCACGAGGGAACGGTGAGTACCGACGCGGCGGCCGCGCACACTCGACACGTAAGTAACCACCGTCCGACGTCGCTCCGCCGTAGCGTGTAGCGCGTTCGCAAAATAGCGGCAATTTCGCATCGTCTGCTCGGGCGGGCGTGCATCGCGCAGGCTCGTGCTCGCCAAGATGGCCGGTCCGCGGTCGCGTTTGTTGTGGTGGTGATGGAGGCCCGCTCGGTACCGATCGATACGCCCGCCGCCGAATACCGGCTATGGCGGCTAGCGTTGTCGCGCGTCACGCATCCTGAGATAAACGCTCTGTCGGGAAAGAGCGTCGCGATCGTCGTCGCTGGTACCGCCCGGTGATGATAAGCGTTCGCGCGACCGTCATCAGCGCGGGGCGTGGTGCGAGAGCGTAGCCGAGGCGGCGGCCTCCCCGCAGACGCGAAGAGCCCTGTGCGAGAGCCCTCCCTGATCCACTCCGCGGGACACACCAAGGTGCGTACGCAACTCGCGATTTTCACTGGGCCTGCTCCATCGGCTACCGCGTTACCGAGCAGTCGTCGTGAGCAGCTCCGCGGCTACCCGGAGGTGGTGGTCTCTCTTTTGCGTGTGCCCTGCGCATTTTCATTGCCCCCCCAAAGTATCGGCCCGAATAAACGCGCATATCCCCCGTCTCCCTCTCTGCCGCGAGCGAGCGTGCCGTTCTTCTCGCTCGGGACGGCGGGCGTTCTGTCTCTCTCTCTCTCTCTCTTTCTCTCTCTCTTTTTGTAGCCCCCCTTATGCGCGTTCTTTATTATCGCGCGTTGTCTTCTCGTCATCGTCGTTGTCGTTGCTGCCGCCTGTCATTTCATTACGTACGGGAGAGTGAGATGCCGCGAGGAGCACGAAAGACGCGGCGGCTGCTGTTACGGTCGTCCCTCGTACCGTCCGCGCTGTCGTCATCGTCTTGGTAGTCTTCATCTCCATCGGCATCCACATTGCCGTTGCCTCTTTCGTTATCCTGTCGTCGTTATCTCTGTGTTGTAATTAGTTATGTTTACGATAACGAGCTACGCTCACACGTAATATTCGTATTTCCACTAACGTGTCTCTCGGCTGGGTGTGCAGCCGCGGTCACGCCACACCACCACGATCAGCAAGAGGATGTGTGCTCTACACCGTGCAAGCCCAAGAGGAAGACGGACCGTCGCCCGCAGACGCGAGCTGTCTTCTCGTCAATTACGCGAAATGTATATACAAACGTATATCCTCGAGCCAAAACACGTGCTTACACACTGTGCGCGTCGTCGTGTCGACTCGCGACATTTTCCCGCAGCGCGTGGTATAAATATCGCGATCATCGGACGTTTATAAAAAAGTGCACGGTCTGCGAACTTTTAATTAGTGAAATATCGCTCGTTCTGCCGCCGATAATTTGGCGATATTTTCTACCAATTTCACTGAAAGAAGAAATTTTTTACACGTTGGGCTCGATAATTGTTACTATATATATACATATATATATATATATATATATATATATATATATATATATATGATGTATGTATGTATGCATGTATGTATGTATGTATATATGTATTATGTATCATATATGTTACATATATATATAATACATGTGTATATATATTATACACACATTATTATATATATATGTGTATATATATACATATTTATATGCACGCATGCACATATCTGCGTTATATTTTTTGCATTATCTGGACAAAGAGATTAATTAAGTCATTCTATTTTGCAAAGTAAAAGCTAGTAATACAATATACCATGAGTGATCTCTCACATCGTTTCCCGCGATTTTTATCACGATATTTTTAAAGGACGAACAATCGTGTAGACCGCGATCGCGGTTGATCAAAACTCAACTCGATTGTCCTTAACGCTCACTTTGCTGAAGCTCACTTTGTTATTTCAGGCTAAGGTGATGTAGAAAAAGCTGGGACTAGCAGATCGACTTCGCTTTCTCACGGGTAACTGCAATATATAAACAGTCAAGACGGGTGACGAACAGAAAAAGATGGTTTCTCTGTCCAGTACAGAGACCGGCGCGATGGACCGAATCTCAGACGACGACGATGACGATCCAAGTAGCGGCTCAGAGACGTACGAGGAAGGAGATCTCCTTTCGGCTGCTATGGACGATGATGTAACAGCGCAACTCGCCGCTGCAGGTTGGCAATACAAACACATTAATGGTGATTTCCATTTTTTTGCTTTCTCATTTTTTGTTTACTCATCCATATTTACTTGCGTCGAATGCGACACTCTGATCGAAGGAGCTTGAGGGTAGGTTTGTCGAGAAATTCTAATGAGATGTATCAAAACAAACGCTTGAGCAGATAAACGCCAAAACAGATTTTCGACGCGTCTGCACGTCCGTGTTCTTGTACCGGATTCTTGTCATAACTAGCGTATATGATCGGTATTATCGGTGATTAATTTTACAATTTGGATTCATTTCGGATTCAATCGATTTGTTGAATATCATGATGCTATAATTCTGTCTATTGTATACATCAGATGAGATGATGTTAACAAGTAAATGTGTGATTGTGATGTCCAATTTTGGGTGTTCAATTATCACTGAAGGTATTTTTCACATATATTTGGAATATTTAAAATCTTATAGCTGAAGAATAATTTGTAGCTCACTAATCTCATATTTCCTTTTCGTTACTCTTTCATTTTTGTATCGCAGTAAGTTGCCAGTGTTTGGCATAAATTATTGCAATTGTGTAACGATTATTTATCAAACTCATTAATATTGTATGCATTTCATAATGTTTGTGTGCTGTGTCTTTAATTTGATTTTGTTATTAATGCTTGCATATGATTATACCTTGTACATAAGATTCATGTGTTTGTCCGTGAAATATCATATTGTTGCTTGCGCATCCTCGTCTGAATGCTCTAGAAGTACGTGTGAATGTTCGATATGTCGATATGACTCATTGAAATTAATTTTTTCACTGCACAGATAAGCGCCAAGGTACATCCATATCATTACCATCAATTACGGTGACACTTTCAAAACTCACTCTCTCTTCTTTCGTTTCTTTCATCTTTCATTTTATTGACATATCGAGATGCTTAGGAATTACCACGATCGAAACATTTCTCCAATAATAAAATATCTTTAGGACCTGTTGGTGTTGCCGCAGCAGCTGCCATTGTGTCAGCCAAGAAACGAAAACGTCCTCACAGTTTCGAAACTAATCCCAGTATCAGAAAAAGACAGCAAAATAGGCTTCTCAGGAAGCTTAGAGTAAGTATATTTAGAGTAAGTATTGCACATGTTCTCTTTCAACTAACAGTGTGCAATCAATTAACAGTGTGCAATCACATAATCTAGAGTGTACCACGTTATTACGTGTGCTTTCCAGCAATATACACAGACTCTGTGTAACACAACGTGCGACCCAATTGTGACACAAGTTGACACAATCATGATCACAGCCAAAAAGCTATGTTTGATTGTGTCGTTGTATTGTGTCACTCCATTGATACTAACATTTTTATATTTGGTATCATTTATTTTTCTATAGAGTGATACTCCGGTAAAAGATAATTTAAAACAAAAACAATATTACAGAAAATATATTAATTTAATTTCATTACTTTTTCATAACAACTTAATTTACATTATACAATCAGTTTTTTATTAGTTTTCTGTATATATGATAAATAAACTAATTTATAAGAAATTTTTGTTAAAAAATATTGACTTTTACAACAAAAGTATCTTTTGGCGATCTTTATTTACAAATGGATGTACACCATATTCACTGTGCATATACACTGGAGAAATAATAACAAGTTATGTAAAGGGACTGCACTCTGACGGTAAAATAAAAAAGCTAAATAGCGTTCCAGCTACATGGCCACACTGTATAACACAGTCTCACACCATGTATGGCTGTGTTTTGTTGTTGGAAAGCACTCTACATTTCTGATATTTTGACTGTAGGAGTTTTACTAGTGACCTGGAACGGAGAAAAGCGTAATGATATCAATTAATATGTTAAGCACCAAGCCTATTCTGTTTACTTTTTGGTTTATACTACACGATACCGCCAACTTATTTACATCTTATATTACCGGTCATTAATGAATAGAAAGCTCATCGTCGGTGACCGACATGGCGCTTAACGTGTTAATAGTAGTGATTATAGAGCGCTCAGAAAGAGTAAGTACATAAATGGCAAGGAAGAACATGTTTGTGTTGTAAGTCTTGCAGATTACTGACTTATTACTTATTCTGAACGCCTTATGCAGGTAAAAAGTTTCTCCAAGAATATCGTCTTGCAATATCACTTAACGATTTACCTTTTAATTATTTACCAATTACAGCAAACTATCGACGAGTTTGCAACACGAGTTGGACAACAGGCGGTAGTGTTAGTGGCTACTCCGGGTAAGCCAAATAGTAGTTACAAAGTTTTCGGGGCAAAGCCATTAGAAGACGTTGTGAAAAATCTAAGGAACGTTATCATGGAGGAGTTGGAGAGCGCGTTGGCGCAACAAGCACCGCCGCCCGTACAGGACGATCCGTCTCTATACGAGTTACCGCCTCTGATAATCGACGGTATACCAACACCGGTGGAAAAGATGACACAGGCGCAACTTAGAGCGTTTATTCCGCTGATGTTGAAATATTCGACTGGTCGAGGTAAACCCGGCTGGGGCAGAGACAGCACGCGACCGCCTTGGTGGCCTAAAGAGCTGCCTTGGGCGAACGTGCGGATGGATGCGCGGTCAGAAGATGACAAGCAAAAGGTAACTTAACGATCGTCGCGAACGTCTGAATCCAATCTTACAACGTTGAGACGTGCTGACGAAAATTTGGACGATTATTTCTCAATTAATTGCAGATCTCGTGGACCCACGCGTTACGGCAAATTGTAATAAATTGTTATAAATTCCACGGAAGAGAAGATCTTCTGCCGGCGTTCAGTGAAGAGGATGACAAGTCGAACGTTATGTTACAACAATCTACACCCCATTCTTCGTCACATCAGTCGCATTCGTCGAATCAAGGACAAAGTGGACAGTCGCAACAACAGCAACAGACGGTGGGAGTTGTTCGCCTCAACAGCACGGATTCATCTAAGGGAAACTCTTCGCCGGCGCAAATCATTGCAACATCTCCCACAACTCTTGCCACTGCCACTCAGGTGGGAGTGGATGGAGTATGCATAAAAAAATCTCTAAGCTGTTTTATCGGCTCTCTTTTGTATATTTTTTTATGTTTTGATAAAGAGAATTGCAATAATCGCGAAAAGATAGAGTAGATCTGAAGAATGAAACAACATGACGGAAATCTTAAATTGGACTCATTGTAGAGATTTGCGATATTCTTACTGTATGTTTTTTAGACGCTAAATTTTTTCGGACTCGATATTTAATAATGTATCGTTTTTATTAATCATGTTGTTTCTATGTTTCATACAAAACGAATTAACAATTTGCAATATATTTTCCCCTAAAAAACGAGAAAACAAATGCGATTCATATTTTCGTTTGTACAGTTGGTTTCCCTTATTTGAGTTATATTTGCATTCTATTGTTATTGTTTTTATGATTAATTTATGCACACAAAATGTGTTGGTATATTTTGAGTTACAATAGTTTAAGAAGCACAAGTTTAGTTATTTTTCGTATCGTTTGCTAAAATAGATCTTGATATGACATAACGAGTGATTGATAATTGTTTTTTAGATGACGGCCCAATATCCAACAGCTGTATTGCAGACAATAACCAATCCGGATGGTACAGTTTCTATTATACAAATGGATCCTAGTAATCCAATCATTACGTTACCAGATGGTACGACAGCTCAAGTTCAAGGAGTTGCTACCGTGAGTTTTCCCTTCAAACAATTCGAGATATTAGTGTAGAGTTTCTTATAAATGTAAAGTCTTGTCGTCTGTCTTATTCTAAATGAAATATAAGTGAAGTATAAGTGAAGTATAAAATAAAGTTGTCGCGTGAAGTCTTATTTCAACACTGTATTTAGATTCACACGAGTCAAGGAGAAGTGCAAACACTAGCAGAAGTGACCGGTAGCGCGGAAGGTGCTAGTGTAGCCGTTGATCTGAATAGCGTTACAGAAGCAACGTTAAGTCAAGACGGCCAAATCATCCTTACCGGGGAAGACGGACACGGTAAAACAGTTTTCTATAGGCTCTGCACCGTCGCCGGCCAGGAGCTACTCGAACAGTGATTCGTTTTTTTTTTTAATTGCCCACAAGTTCTTTTTGTTACTTTGCATGCTGTACGCTGTGCTCCAATCAGGGAATTGTGTCTCTATATGTCGTACTGTTTTATATAATGAAGTAGAAAGTGAATTAGTTTCTACGTACCGTTTCGTATTGTATATATACATATATCTAGCAATTTTATTATGGAGATATATGCACAGCTTTATCTAAACCCTGTTTTTAAGAATCCACGGTACATACTGTTGTTATCAGAAAAGAATGCAAGTAGCATACAAGGAAAAAGTTAAAGCTAAATATTTTTACTTATATGGACGTTTTATATCTCGTTAGAAGTATTAAAATTCATATGGTCGATAAATAATGTATCATTCGATATGTTCACATGTGATATTAATTACGGTAATAAATATTTTGCCAAAACGATCGCATATAAAACGAAATCAAAATAGAAAAGAGAGATAGAGAAAATAGCATTTATTTATGTGATATATTCATGTATACAGAATGTTTCACTTCTGCATTTGTAGTGGCATATTTTTTATACAATTTAAGGACGATGTTTTCTCAACGAGGGAAAAGGAAGTCAAAGGAAGTGATTTTATAAAATTGTTAAGCTTATAATATCAATAGTGTTGCAATCAGGCAGTTGTAAACAATTATTCACTAAATTGCAAAATATTAGAGCTAAAGAACGCTAATTTTAGTAACTATTCTGTTACCTGAAATCTATTTCGTGAAAATTTTTTCTACTGCAATGGTTTATGATTAAAAAATTATGAATGTCTCGACATTTCGCTAAAAAAAATTCGACTTCAAATTGTCCAAAAAATAGTATTACAAAAGAATTTATCAAAAGTGGAATATTCCATATATACGATTTTATAATCACATATACATATAGTACATGTTGTATAAAATGCATTTTGTAACGTGTGACATCTGGATGAATAATTTTGAATGTGCATTTGTATTTATCCGCGTTATATTTTGCAACGTGAACTATATAGTTTTTCCAACACTGACACTGAGCACATAACACACAAAAGAGAATTATTTATAATACGTAAAGAAATTCTCACATGAACAATTTTATATGAATTATAAGTAACATGAATACATGTTATGTCACAATGAGGACGTATTGCCCCTGGATTCTTAAATTTGACTATCAGTTAATCGCGGAAAGCGATTGTATCACGATAACGAAAGAAACTGTCTCACCAAGATCATTTGCCTTATCACCGAGGATTGGTTATTGATTTTGACTAAACAAAGGAAAATAAACTTGCTGTACATAGAGTATTTTTTGTTGATGTTTTATTATTTTGTATATTATATTATATTTAGCGGCCTTTGTTCAAGCTGCTTGGGGTAACACGTTAGTTTGCTACACTTTTACACTTGTTTTCTCTTTCAAGAGTGTCGCACAAATTTATAGTTTAACTTGAAGTTTTATCGCAAGCAGTTTAAACACTTACTGTCCCTTATAGATATTTGTAAAATAGAATGTGAAACTTATGATTATTTTTTAAAATAAGTTAAAAGAGTGTATCAGAAAATTTATTGTTATAATCGTAGTAAGTATTATTTTTGCTCAGTAGCGTATACATATACTCAACACACCCTGTTAACACGTTCGCTACCACGCGTCACACATCATAAACAAATCATGTATATTTTATGTTGAATACATTTATTTTATACACAAAAGAAGATACAGAGCGGTGGTGGAGTTTGTGGTGGACGATTTTTCAGATAAACGGTGGTGCCGGACGTGTTAATTAAATCGATATCAGTTGTTAGCTTTGTGAACTGTTCGACCTCCAAGTCGTGTAACGCGCTGCTATGAAGTACTATACTGAAAAAAAAAGTTTGATAATACTTATCAAATACGTTTTATCATACCATTTGGTAAATAGTAACCAATAATGATAAATGTTATCAATGTTTGATAATAATTACAAAATTGTTAGTAACATTAACTTTCATATAGTAATATTCACCTCTAATATTTAGTTGATACTATTTTACTAAATGTAGTAATTATAACACAGGCTGGATAATTATTACCAGAAATTTTTCTCAGTGTAGTAACGTTTAAATTTAAACATTCGACTGTATCGTAAACTGGTAGGATGATCGTTTCACTATAGAAGCCCAAGATCTTTCTCTCTTAGTGAGAGATCATTTTTAATAAATGTGATGCGAACAACACGATATTTTATTATATACGTACGCGCGTGCGCATATATACAGACATATCGCTTTAGCGCTTTACAAGCAGCTACTTGAACATTGTCGCAATTGTGAGTATATAATTGAATACATACTTATCACACTTATTCTCCAGTTTGCAATACAGCAAGCAGGCCGAATCAACTACACGCCTGAAATCGCAGGCAGAGCAGATAGGACGTTCGTTTGTCTGTTGCAGGATATCCTGTCTCGGTATCGGGAGTGATCACCGTACCGGTGTCTGCCGGTATGTATCAAACTATGGTGGCCAATATTCAGAGCGATGGCACGATGCAGGTCGTCGCGCCAATGGTTCAGGTGCCCAAGGTCGAGCCTGGCAACGGCGAGACCATCGAGGCAGTCACTATACAGGGCCATCCTATGACCATGATTAACGCCGCCGGGGAACACCAGGTACTCCAAGTGATATCTCTGAAGGACGCCAATGTTCTGACGAAGGCTATTCAGGCCGAGGTTGTTAAGGACGAGGATAGTCAACCGCAACAAACTGTGTCTAGCCCAGAATAAAAAAAGAACGAGTGAGAGTGAGAGCGAAAGAGAGAGAGAGAGAGAGAGATAATATTAAGTGTGTGCGTCTAGTTAATACAAAGTCACTTCGTATATCCTTGAATGCAACGTTTTCGCATCATTATGAAAGAGATGTACGGAAGTAATGAAGAATAATAACGTGTGAAAGAATTAGTAACGATTGGTGTTTTGTTCTTTCTCTTGGAGTTACTGTATAGTAAGACCTACTCTGACTGCGGATCATCGAAAACTGAGAACAGTTCCGTCTGAAAGTGAGAAAGAGAGAGTGAATGAGTGCGTCGATCGATCGGATTAAGATTACCCGTCTTTGTACTCGAAGTTTATTATAGGCGCTTGAGGGTATTCACTACTTGCAATTCGACTTCTCAGACGTAGTATTAATTTTGTAAGAGGTCTGCAATTAAAGGCAACACCGACGCCTCTGCGGTTTCCGCACAGTTCGCCGGAATGCATATATGTAACTATCTCGTGTCTATTGGAAAATGGAAAGTCATTGATAATGTATTTTCCGGTACTGTGCAAGTTATATTAAGGATATATTTTCATCTAGTCTTAGAGTCAGGTCAGATCGAGGTATACCAAAGAAAACTGAGAAATTTATTTTTAATTCGACAACGTAAGAGAGAGAAAGAGAGAGAAAGAGAAGTTCAATATGAAAGTCTTTATTCGGAACTTTTATTAACTCGACGAATTGGTCATTTTTATATAGAGCTCGATCGCTTCCACACAACAGTGGGGAAAGTAACTTATCCAATTTCCCCGCCTTGGGATCTCAATGGCCCAGTGTATAATTAACTTAAAAGAGAAGAAGAAACTTAATAAAAGCACAAAGTTCCCTCAATTCGCAAGTACGTAGGAATACGTAGGAGTAAAGTAAGAAAAGAAAAAACTTACTGTGTTAAGTTCTCTTTCTTTACAAAGATCTGTTGTCTGTAAAGAAACGTTGAACCTATTTTTATGGGTAAAGAAATCACATTGAGATAATTTTCTTTTTTATTGCAAAAATATGCGATCGTGTATATATATATATATACACAGAGTGTCCAATATCGTAAGATCTGTTAACGGCAAATTTTTAATGACAAACCCAGATGAAAATCCTAATAAGAGTTTATAGGATTAGAAAATCCTAATAAGTTTATAGGATTTACAAAGAAAATGTCGAAAATAAAGTTAAAATAAGAGATTTTCAAGTGAGAAACCTTCGAGAATAATAGTGTAATCCAGTGATAAAAAAATTTACGCACTCAGATACGATTGATCGAACCGTACTGAAAGTATGTCTTGGCACCTCAATTATTTCTACTAATATTAATATCATTTTAGATATAACGTCATCAACATTTTTCCGTGTATTTGACTTATTCATCATGTGAATAACTTTTCCATTGCAATTTGTAGTAAAATGTCAAAAGCTATCAAATAATCGGCAATAAACCGTGTCTGAGCGCCAATTTTTGTCAATCTGATTGGTCTTCTTTAAAAACATCTCATATAGGATGCGTTTTGAAATTACTGTCAGTATTGAAAATTTACAGTATATGTGACATGAACTATACATTTTCAATACTGGCAGTAAATATCGGAACACAGCCTTAACAACTATTATATTTCGACACTTTTTCGCGCAACATATTGTGATCTTCAACTCAAAATGTCCTCAAGTATCTGCCATTAACAGGTGTCGCAATAATGTTGGAACACTCTGTGTATATGTATGTGTATATGTATATATATACATATATGCATACATACATACATACATCACTTACATATGTGTGTATGTGCGTACATAAAGGGTCGATAATAGAAGTAACAACAAAAAAAAGAGTTAAGCATTTCTGATGGGTACAAATAGGATATAAGCTGTCTTTTCAAGGAAAAACAGAATATACGGATTTGGAAATTTCAAAACACACGCAAACGAACGAAGCGTGTATACAGTCTTATTTTACGAATAAATCATATTGCACTACTTATATACTTGCTTCGATTAGGATGATCGAGTAAAAACGCGTCGCATGATCGTCGCATATCAACGCGATGAGAAAAAGAAAAAAAATTAATGACTACAGTACAGAACAAGGCAGTGTTCATTCATCGCTTTGATTCATTCATACACACGCACTAATTAATGTTGAAAATGACGAATGAACTCTCTGCGCTCTGTATGTTATATTTCTACGAGAGATTATGTAACGTTTCCAATCTTGAAAATTATGCCGTAGCTACATGTATGCACTAATTTTCTAAAGAGGAGGATAGTACACGATTATAAAAATCAGGATTTGAATATTGTCCTTCATTCCATTCGAAGGTAATCAAAAAAAAAGCAAAAAAAAAGAAAGAAATGTAATCGATTCTATTTTACATTGAATAGTATCGGACTGTGTATCGTGGCATTTAAAAATCCAATGATCCATTTTGATATAATATATCTAAAACGGAAAGTGTATTTTTTGTGTGCAATCTTGTTTCAATGTTGCGCTGCCGAATGATATGAAAAGAAAGACATGATCATGTGTTTTTCCCTCTCGATGTGTCGTTCGTCTTTCGTAGTACGCGATCTCTCCTCCATCGTGGAGACCGTTCCGGGACTAATCGGAACGATTTTAACGGTGATGTTTGTTCGTTCAACTGTTCAGCATCACCATTGCAATGATCTGACGGTAAATTAGGTTTTCATAAATGTGTACAGTAAACACACCTGTCTCCGAAGGACGTAACATTGAAACAACAAACTGCCCCCTAAGAAAAACCATGTGTAATAATACCAAAGAGGTTTTTATAATATTATAGAGGGAAATAGTGTGTTGAGATTAGAGATAAATACTATTAAAACGTATCATAATGACTAGATACTACTTGTTGCGTCGTTTTTTTAAGACCAAGGCCACTACATTAATTATGTAATATATCGGTACACACGTGTAAAATAAACAAGTTATATTTTCCCTTTGTTGTTTGTAAGAAAGCACACGGAGCATAAAATTAAGTTGGATGTCATTCGAAAAGAAGAAAAAACGACAAAAAAATGTGTATTACGATTTTAGATAATTATAGACGTATGTGTATATGACTTGATTGCCTGTCGTTGCGTATCCACTCCTAGTCATTTCCATTATATTATCATGTAATTTATAAATATACATTAATCTCTGTATGTGGCACCTGGAAGGGAAAGGGTAAACCCGCGTGAGAACCTTTCAGCGAATATATATTCTGTAACTTGCGTCGTCATTCTTTAATGACAGATTTTTTTAGCAATTTGAATTTGACTTCATTCTTAGTGAAAATATCGAGAGGCACTCTACTCTGGCGTCGGCTTCCAATTATATATCTTCCGAGCGAGACGACGTTATATAAAATTTTCTATAGCGTGGAAAACAGATTTTTATTAAAAATTGCTGAAAAAAAACACTGATTAAAATTTTAATTTAACACATTGCATACAGTGTTCTGTTCTTCTAGCCTGTCAAGGGACCACATATTATGTAGACCTTGTTATATTTTTCTTGATGTTTTGACTCTCATACTTTGATTGTAATCATTAGGTTTTCTTTGTATAGCAATAGATATAACCATTAAGTTTTCTTTTTATAGCAATAGGTGAATTACTTTAAATACTTTAAATACACAATCAATATGCAATTATAAGTATAAAAGACTAGATATCTTGTGATTTGATTTCAATATATGATTTAATAAAACCCAAGAGATCTTACATGAGCTGTACGCAATGTATTAATAATAACATTACATTATACCATTATAGTTTATATGGTATTTTCTAAGTTTCTTTTTGACCCTTCAAGAGATGTTAATTACAACTGTAATTCTTTATTTAACAATGCTGCTGGTGATGCAAATACATGGAAAGTATAAGTTCAGCTCCACTGATAAATTATTCTCTCATCATGCACATTTCTGTGTGCCGCACACAGCAGCGTAGAGATAAATACTAGAGTTTATGTGATCAATCATTCAGTTCATTACATATGGTACACTGATTCGACAGCTAGTTCTGGTTGGTCGTAGCCTAGCTGTTCAGGTGTGCTGATACCCAACTCGTCCAGAGTAGGTTTGATTTCTTGAAGAATATATGGGTAAATTGTGTTAACCTGAGGCCCAGCTTTATCCTTCACGGACTCTATAAACCTGACAGCAAGTGCGAAGTCATTCAATCTTCTGCAGGCTTTCAATGCTGCACATATGATTTTTGGTTCTGGCACAAGGTCCATGCCTAAATCAGACATAATGTGCTTGTCAGTAATATCAATTTTCCACCTGTTTATATTGGTTTTACATTACAGTTCCACAAAATTTTACTGCTTTGTTGCTGACAAAAATATAGTATTATAAACTCAATTGTTTGCAACTTAAAAGTACATAGATAGCATTTCCAGACTACAAAACATTTCATATTCACACACACACACACACACACATACACATATTAGGAGTACTGCTACTATACTATAGTAGCCTGGGTTCGATTCATTGTTTAGTACAAGTAAATTTTATTTACGACACGTCGTAGCCGGTAATAGACTCACCGGCTAAGTCGTTCATGGCTTTTCGGATTTCCCAGTGGTCGATGTCGTTGCGATTGAAGAATTTTACATATCGCTCGTCAAACTCCTCGTCTGTCTCTTTGGCACCGTGGGATGCCCTGGTGCTCTGCGTACCGATGACAGTCGTCGCACTTCGTGGTGCTAACAGACTCGTGCGCGTCGCCGAGGTCACACGTGTCACTACGGCGCGCAGCATTGTGTTATCAAAAAAGTATTTCTCGTTCTCCAAGTGTTCAAAAGGAACCCTCAACGACCGAGGATCGGGCTGTCTGTTGCGTAAATCGTACACGACGGAAGTCGACACAAGAGAACCGTGTGATTGCCGGTGTTCACCGCGAGATAGCACGCATTGTCACTTCCCTTCCTCGTGAGTCGATGGCGCGATTTTCAAATAAGACTTGTGCCAGCGAATTCCGCTGTTTTCTTTCCAAAAAGAACGTTGCAGAAATAAATGAATGATTTTACTTGCGCAAGATTGTCCAAAGAAATTGTTGACATATCAAATATTACATTCTTGCTTTAAGGAATGTAAAATCGCTGTTATACCAAAAATTAACTAACGTATAACTGACGTCACCTACATTTTTTGATTTTTAAGGAGCCTCAATTTTTTGTTAAATAAATATAAATAAATAGATATATTAGCGTGTGTGTTCCTTGTAAATGTATGTAAAGATATGTACAATTGCACATACCTATGTTCTTCGTAAATTATCGTTTTTTACAAAGCGATACATATACTTTTCATAGCGAAAAATGTTAACTTTTGTAGAAATTACACTTATGGTCAGATGTGCTAAATACTTACTTTCAATGTTATTCTATATTAAGAGGAAATAAGAATTCTATATTAAGAGGAAATAAGAATGATAAGAATGATAAGTTTTGAGAAAGGAAGATAATATTGCGAATATTCTCGTAATTTCTTTGTAGAAAAAAGATATTGAATAATGAATAGAAATAATAGGAAGGAAACTGTATTTTGACGTGTAATTGATTTAGTATTTCGGTGTTTACTTCATGATAGTAACTATCGTGATGGTAGTAAACTCACTGCGCAGCCGTTTTAGTACAATGTTACTATATTTACAAAAGATAGGATTATAAATGGTACAAGTAATCACTCCTACACTCGATACAACAAAAATAATTACGTACAAGAGAGAAATGTTCGAAGTAATAGAGTCATGGTGCAATTTATACGTATATTAGAGGTATATTGACTATTTTTTTCCCTTCCGAACTTATACAGAATATACTTTATACAATGTGCAAAAGCCGCGTCGCACGGACACGCGTCCCGTCGCTTTAAATACTAACAGCTAGTCGTGTCGCATATGTATACAAAATTGACTCGATATTTCTTTTATATATATGTACGTGTATATACGCGTACACACACACATATATAACAAAAATCTCCTTTTTCCTACATTATACATAATTTAATGGGTGTCACACCTTACGACAAATGCTTGACGCAGCGATTATTGTACACTCGCTTGCACACGCTCTTTTCCGGCCAAGTTAGGCACGCATCATCAAATTGGTCACAACTGTTCACGAGCTTGCACGATGATCGGTTATGACAGGAAGTGACAATACACGAGATATCCAATGTCACAAACGCAAACGCAAGCCCCCACGAGAGCGCGGTTGCTCGTGATCGTGTCAATTTGGTGCGCTGCTAACTTCACCGGAAAAAAAGGAAGAAGAGACGTGTGTGAAGACGTTGTGCAAATGAGTGTGTAGTGTCACGGTACGACATATATTACAACTTTATACATATTAGAGGTATGAATGTGAGAATAGGAATAGATACTTCGTTAAATTAAGTACCGTGTCGTGCGTGATAAGAATACTCTGTATTACTCCGACATAAATAATATATTTTTTTTACAAGTTGTCGCGCGAGAGTGGTGGACAAGAGTGGTGACGTGGTGAGTAGTGAGTGGTGAGTGGGTATCGTGCTATTCAGCTTGCACCGTTTTCGTACAGCCGCGCGACAGCGCGAGACGCAGAGGAATTAAAATAAATAATAAATAGATCTTAGAGAGATTCGGTAGCGCGCTTGTAGACATATATACATTGCACGTTACACAATATGATTAACGTAGAAAATAAATAGTAATATCTGAAACGCATAAAGTCCCTTCGATTCGGCGAAGCGGCGTCGTCGTCATCGTTCTCTCAGGACCTCGCGATTACATTTAGGAGACAGGTCGCGTTCCAGTGGCAGTAGCCTTTAGCTTTCTAGTTAAATACCTACGTGGCAGGTATGTACAGTTCGCAGTGAACACGCTTCTTCTCATTCGGCAGGCATCTTATCGATACTACTATAACCAACATACTGACGTGTGTCTCGCTTTGACGAACGGAAGTAGGTTGCCTTGTACGATCGTAAGAGTGAGAGCCGCGCGATATCCTTGCGTGCCTCTCGGTAGTATACAGTGCAAATCGCCCTTATTACAGTGTAAAACGTCAATTTAAATAAATTTATCTAAAACGGACTATTAGATTGATCTATTAAGGTTCATCTCGTACACGTGATCGCTCCTGCTGATATCATCCCACGTGCGATACGCCGATTAAGTGTTCAGGAGAACTATTTTACGAAGCTTCAGGATCGGAACGATTCTACTTTTGTAGGTTGCGCTATCGCGGACGTTATTAAATATAGTGTCCGAAAAGATGAAACGTTCCGACACAATATGTGAGTGAAGAGTGTCGTGATCGTAAGAGGTAAATTAAACACACGACAAGAACGTTTTCTTCTTTCACAGTGCGAAGACGCACTCGGCAGAGTTGCGCGCGTTATTATAATACTTTTCGTTCTTAAGATCCGAGCAAGACAATCGTGTCGCGTTGTTATTCACTCCAGGAGAAGAAGCGGTCGTCAGATTTGAAAAGAGCAAGGAAAAGGGGCAAAGAAGTTGGGGGTAGGGGGATGGAGAAACCTATTACCTATCCTAGTCAGCCTTCTGTGTGTTCCCGCTTTGCGTGGTACTTGAGCAGTAGCTGCCGGTCTCCTCGGTACTTGTTATTAGTGTTTTGGGTTAGATTCCGTATCCGGTTCAGGACTGGAGCTGGAAGACTCCCCAGCACTAACGTTCGTACTGCAGCGCGAGCTCCTTCGGCTGCTGGTGCCCGTGTGCCGGCATTTTTCACCACGATCCACTCCACCTACAATAATTTCACGGGAAATGAACACGATCCACATCGATCCGAGACAAAGAACTATTGTTATAGAGCTAATATTCAGGCTAATGAGACTGTGAAGACGTACTCTGGAATTGATAGAGTTTAGGGTAAATTTGCGGAAAGAGTTTCTTCTCTTTCTTCAACAAGTTGTCAAAATTAATAGCCCATTGCCAGAAAGCGAATCATCATTGGATTATATTAAAATAAATTACTTTTTCTCTTAAAATACTTTATATTGATACATATGTATGTTTAGAAAAATTCTAGTTTTCTTTTAATTCGGGTACTGTCGACGAATGTATGATGAAATATTATTGAATAAATATTTACCACTCCACAATAAGAAAAACCTCATCATATGATTGATAAATGTTATATTTTTGTCACGTGTGTAGGAATGAAATCAGTTTCTTCTGACTTTAAAACCTGATCTACGAGCACAATATGTTCTTTGCTTCTTGCTTCTTCTTCTTTATTTCTTTCTGACTTAAACCTTAAGCTTTAAGCCAGAAAAAGACAGAAGACAAAAAACAAGACGCAAAGAATATATTATAGATTAGGCTGATCTATAATATATTATCTACAATATGTATAGACTTAAACCTGATCTATAATATGTTCTTTGTGTTTCTTGTTCTGTTCTTGTTCTGTTTTGTTTCTTGTTCTCTGTTTTCTTAAAGCTTAAGATTTGAGTCAGAAAGAAATAAAGAGAAAAAAGCAAAGAACATATACATCAAGCTTAAAGCTTCAAGCTTAAAGCTTCATCTACAATGTGTTCTTTGCTTCTTTCTCTTTATTTCTTTCTAATTCAAACTTTAAGCCTTAAGCCAGAAAAAGACAGAGAATAAGAAACAGGAAGCAAAGAGCATATTGTAGGTCAAACTTGAAGAGTTCGTCGCCGAAGAAACTAAGTCAAAATAACTCAAAGAAGATGTAACACGATGTATATTTCTACAACACTATTTGACCGCGATTACATGCGTGTTAGCGGGAAAAAAAGCGCATTTCGGGTTAATCTCACGCCGAGATATTTCTCTCATCATTGGCTCTGCATACTCACTGGTTAACGGCGTGTGAACTTCGACCTTAATGTTCGCCGTCGCGGTGACCTTAGTGGTGATATGCGACGTGGACGGAACCGGCGACGTTTGACTAGACCCACTCGTGTCCGATCCGCTACAGTTCTGTTAGTCGAAATGACAAAGGAGAACACGCTCTCGTTAGTCATGCTCGAAGAAAAAAAAAAAAGGAGAAGCGGCGATGTTACACGCGGCTTCTTTCATTGAACAACAGTCTCTCATGCTGGTCAAATCGACCGCACTCGTTCGCGAATCAAAATATCGCCGATGATCGCACGCACCTGATTGCCGCACGTGGACGTGGTCTCCACCTTGACCTCCGGCTGGACGATGATGCAGGACTCCTGTGTGCTGTGCCACGAATTGGGCTCCTCGGTGATGGTCGTGAGCGACGGTTCGGCGTGCAGTCGAGCGTTATCGATTCTGTGCGATCGCCTGGGTGGCGCAGGTGGCTTGGATCTCCTCACGATTGGCGACGGCGGCGGTGTAGGCGTGGATATACGATCCGGATGATCGTTCGGCACTACTTCCGCCGACGGTCCGACCAGTGACAGCAGAATGGGGAAAAAGAAGATACCATTGATCAGGCCGATGCCGATCAGGCAGAGCAGCACGAGGAAGAAATAATTGACTATGAAATCGAACTCGGAGAAGGCGAGCATCGATACCGCGAGCAGCGTGGTAAGCGCGCCGTGGATCACGGGCGCGTACATGTGCTCCAAGGCCAAGCGCATTCTGCGGTCCCTACTGCCTACGCTGGTGACGAAACTCTGAAAAGAATTCCATTGGTATCAGCATGAGAACAGCACGAGAAGTAAAATAAAAGGTTACGAACGAGAAATATTCTATGAACAAAAGAATAATTAACAACGTAAAGATATGTATTATGTGATATAGTATTATATCATAATGTTAATCACACATAAAATTATGATACTATCACACATCTCCTTAAGTTATATATAATCAATTGCATTTGTGAAAGATTAGGCCAACAGAGAGCTGATGAAACAAGATGAAAGGTCAGTGAGTCTCGAATTACATTGATTTACTTATTTTTAGTTATTTAAGCATCAGTTAATTAATCACATAACGTCACAATTATTGGTAGAGAACCATATCATGATTTTGTCTATAAAATTTTCTAATAAGAAAGCGAATAAGTAATTGAAAACTTGCACGGGCGTGAACACTTACCAAGCAAATGTGCACTGTAAAGTGAACAGCGATACCCACGCTGAGCACTAGCAGTACCGCAGGTACGGCGCTCAATTTAATGTCGCACAGACCCATAATGCCTAACAGTTGTAGAACAACGGCAGCCAAAGAAGAGCCGACCATCAGTGCAGCCCACAAGTTCAACAACAGCACACCGATCACCACTATGCTTGCGCCCAACGCGGCTAGGAGAGCGAAGCCCAAGCAGCTTCTCAGATCCATGTACTGCTCCCAGAAGAGGAAAGGTATGCCGGACGGAAAGTTTGGCAGGCCACGTTCCTCGAATCTTCTGCAGAGATTGCGCACGCTGGCAATCAACTCGGTGATTTCCTGCGTGTCGGTGAGCTTGTGAAGGTAAAATGGCATCTGGGCGTACGTGAGCGGCATGCTTTTTGGGATCTTGAGCTCATGGTCGTTAGTGTAGAACCACTGACGCGGTTCGGGCCTGAGGTTCGCCTGAGAGGCGCCGTAGGCAAGCGCGTCGTTGGACGCCCAGGCGCTCAAGTAGTTGTAGAAGGCGCGTGGATTGATGATGCCGTCGGAATCGACAAGGCGCACCTGTGTGATCAGCGTCTTGTCGATAGGGTTATCCACGTAGCCGGTCTGCGCGAGCAGTTTGTACGCCAAAATCGCCTCGTCGCTGGCATTCTGGTACCATCTCTCTTGCGTGATGCAGCCATTGTTGTAGTCCTTGTCGAAAGCTGTCTGTAGACCCTTGAGCCAGTCGCGGAAGAGGCCGAGCCAGAACTCTGGCAGACCGCCGTTATCATTCTTGATAACGTTCTTGATCCTCATAAACGCGTCGTGGTACTCGTACAGTAGTCGCTGATTGTTCGGGTATTCAAAGTCCCGACCGGTCACGGCGTACATGTTATAGAAGCCAAAGTGTTTCGCTTGGGCGGCAAGAAATGCGTACTCATTCGAATTCTGCGGCACCAGGTCGGTCAGGTCGAGACCATCGCGCACACGTAATGCTTGCCACATGCTGCCGGCCAACACGGCCGCCAAGACAAACATGCCGAACACCTTGGTGGTTGGTCTGCTGATAAAGGGTGCGTAATACCTTGCCGCGAGCTGTGTCAATGAGAAACTCAGGCAGTCGTCTTGCGTGCAACCAGTCAGAGCGTCCTCTTCGGTGCATTGCTTGTCCAATTCCACGTCGATGCTTCCACCTATCTGTAGCAGACGAGCAACGAAGAGACATTTAAAAGTTAATAAAAAAAGAGAAAAAATGGACTTATATAATAATTGATATTTTTATAGGGGGAAAATGTATATTCTTATCAGATTCGACATAAAAAAAATATTAATGAAAACAAGTTGATAGAATGTTGATGCCTATCGATTTATTTTGCTAGCGTTAAAAAGAAGATCAAGGTAACGTAAAATTTTACTCCAAGTAATTGTTCGATAAATTTAATTTCGTTACAATCTTCTTGTGACAACTTGAGTTCTTATAATATATGCTCACGCGTGTAATGTTATCCTTACCCAGGATTCGTTCTGTGCGTTTTGCGACGTTAAGATCTGCGTGCAGGTCTCTCGTCGTTCAGGCGGTATCGCCCTGGTGACCGTTTGCTTGACCGTGCCGTTGTTCTTCGTGGAGTATTTGTTCTTGCTGGAGTTAGGTGACGCCGGGAGACAGCAACAGAGAATATCCGCTCGTCCGGAACGCCTGCGGCGCAAATCTAAGCTGACCATCGCGGGGAACACCAGCAGCATGGCGGCCAAATTGAACAGCAGTAGGATACCGGCCTGCAGGCAGAAGACTCGCAGAGCCGGAATCGGGATTAATGCTGCCGCGAAGAAGGCGGAGACATTGCTGAGGCCCGTCAGCAACACCGACAGGCCGGTTCTCTTGAGGACGACTCCGGTCTGCTCGCCACTGGGCACCTCGTTCACTGACAACTCGGCGTACGTGTGCGTTAGCAGGAACATGTCGTGTACGCCCAGACCGAGCGCGAGAAATGGCACTATCTGCGTCGTGGCGGCGTTGAACGGGATTCCCAAGAGCGCGCAGAAGCCCAACCCGGCGGCTACCGTGGCACAGACGAGCATCACGCCGGCTATCGCCACTCCGGCTTGTGAGCGCACCGGATCCTTCCAACGAAGGAGCGCTACTCCCGCATACACTAACTGGAAAGAAAAACGTACACAACTATTTAAAACTCTTAAGATTATCTTAAAATCCGAGACATTTTATAAAAAGAAAACAGAAATTTGTACTACATTAAAATACAATAATTATATGTATACACATAATTATTTTATTTAGATGAATTCATTTAGTTTTTCTACTAGATATCTTAGATTTTGGATATTTTAGATCCAAAATTCTAGAGTTCAAATATGAACCATATAATCAATTGCAAAGCACTAACCATGAGCACGCATCCGATGACGATCTTCATGACGGACACCTCGCTATATTTTCCGAGTATGTCGTTCATCGTAGTCGTACTGAAGGCATACAGATTGTAGGGTGTCGATCCGTTGGCTTCCAGCACTTTCTTCACCTCGCTACTGAACGCTCTCTGCCAGGTCTCCAACACCTGGGCGGCCTTCTCCTGTGACCAATCCATATGATGGACTTTGTAAGTGTTCGCCAGAAAGTCGTACAGCTCCCGTTCTCCCATTAACTGCACCACAGTCTGCAAGGCGGCTGCCCGGGTCAAGTGGCCCGTTTTATTGTGCTTTGCACCGCCGACCACCAGTTCTTCGGGCCAATGCATATACTTAGCGGCGAATCCATAGCAGCCTCCTGTCAGTTCGGCTCCTACATCAGGTACCTGTTGCAGAGAGAGAAAAGGTGACGTTGAAGGTTGAACAAAAATGAAGAGTTATCTTTCACATAAGAAGTGAGTGTGCGCAGCACAGCTGTACACAACGTTTGTGAGAATTATATGACGGAAAGTCAAGAAATAAAACGACTTTTTGATTTTCAAACCAAGGGGATAGCAATAAACCCTTGTTGTGCGTTCAAAATGGTAGTTTTATATTCAGTTGTTACAGCTCGCATTTTTTTTACACAATTAGACAATAGAGCGCTCATTTTAAGCTAGGCAATAATTAGAAGAAAAGTGAATTGATGCCGCCATTCTTTTAATTTAAAAATAAAAATCCTTTTACTTTCGATTTTTCTTGAAAGATATCACATCGCGCGCACGATTGCCACTTCACCTTCACGCGTGATTTCGATTTCGGGGCAACGTTGATGATATACCGTAGCTACGCGTATTATCACGGTGATAATAAGACAACGATTTCCGGCGCAAAAGAAGCGAAATAAGAAGAGCCCTTTCTTTCTCTATCCGTCACCACCTCAGCGATCGTCGCCTTTTACCCTTCCGCGCATTTTGTTTTTCACCCGTGAGTTTTTCAAGCGTGACCGAAGGCAGAACCGTGTCAAGTCACGCCAGGAATTCCACTGGCAAAGAATTATTACAGGTGGTTCGAGCGACGTTCTTTCTTATGGGGTAACCGGGGGTGTCGTAGACCCCACAACGAGAGATTTTATGGGCTTCTATATAAAAGAGCATACCGACCCTGTGACTTTGGGCTTTAGATCTAACCACTTTGGACACTGTCCTTTATATCGCACGGGAATAAACGAGAAGTCTCTGCGATGCATCGAGGAATAGAACGGCTCATTGGCTCGTGATTATTGTCACGAGTGTTGTTCCAGCGTTTTCAATTACTGCGTTGCGTTAAGTTAGAAATATAAATGTCGCGCGATGGAGTCGATTGAATTTACACAACGGCCGCAGCGACTGCTGTTAATTCTGTCCGTGCAAAATAAACGAAATGACAAATATCATCGTAGAAAGAAAAAAAAGAAAGAATCCAAAGTCACCAGCCATCCATCAGTGGTTTTAATAGAAGGCACGTCACATTGAGTGCCGCTGCATCGGAAGCGCATCAGGCTCGGGTATATAAACGCAAAGGCATACCAAATAAAGTCACCGTCGCGATCCACCATCGGTCCTCGATTGCACGCGTGATTCAAATCGGACGCCTCGCACCTGGCCTGCCTTGTTATGTCATTCCACGAACGAGCCCGTAGAATGTAATCGAGCCGCGCTGACTACGCTTTTCGCGCTCTTACAGCCGCCGCAGTGTGTATCTAAAGGGAGGAGGGGATGGGAACAGCACAAAATGCCGCCTGTCAGTGGAGGAAAGGTTGCAGACACTTGTGCCTCAATAGACTTCAAGATGTATTTGATGATATCCAATAGAAAAATCTACCCTCGTCTATTATCATTAAGAAACAAAATTCTCATACTGGACACGGATGCGTTATGAAACTCATTAGAAATTAACTCGTTAAAATGTGAAATTATTAAGAATTAATTCATGGAAACACGCGGAGTCACGAAAAATTAATTCATTGAAATGCGAAATTATTAAAAATGTAAAATTATTAAAAGGTTAAGTTATTAAACATTAACACATTGGAATACGAAATCACAGAAATTAACTCATAAAAATGTGAAGGCATTGACAATTAAGTCATTAAGATGTGAAGTCATTAAAAGTTATCTTAAGTAATATTAAGACAAAAGTTATATTAAGTGAAGTCAGTAAAACTCATCAAAATGTGGAATCATCGAAAATTAATTTACTGAAATGCGAAGTTATAAGAAATTAACTCATTAAAATGTGGAGTCATTGAAAATTAATTAAAGAAACTCATTTAAAAGTGTCAATCTTTTTGCCGCTGATTATACAATTCCAGCATGCGTTCCAGAGCTAAACAACTGGTCAATCCGCCCGCAGCCACATTCCGAATATTTCGAGTTTCGCATGCGTGCCGTCGCGTGGCCATTGAGTGCAATTACTTTGAGTACGTGCATACTTGTGAAAATAGCAATAGGCGCCCGCGGACGAGTGTGAGAGAGAGAGAGAGAGAGGGGAGAGAGAGAGAGAGAGAGGGGAGAGAGAGAGAGAGAGAGAGAAAGAGAACCGATGCGAGAGCTCGACGATGTTAATGCACACGCGCGCACACGCAAAACGCGCGGCGATGCGATTCACGTTGTGCACGTGTCGGAGTACGCCGGTCGTGCGTATGTTAATGACACCGAAATGACGGCGGCCGCGTAATACGATGCGCGCTGCGCGTGTGTGGGTCCGCGCGCGCGCGCGCGCCGAGGCATACCCTCGACCACCGGCGAAGCGCAATAATGACGCACGTCGGTCGATTTTATTATTTTAATGGGCCACACCGTGCCGCGACCCACGCGACTCGCATACTCATCGAGCATTTCGCGCGGGAATCGTGCGCTTTCGTACGTCTCCCCATTCGAGTCCGTCTTTCCTCCCCCCTCTCCCCTTCTTATCACGCTATCGCGCGGAAGACTATGGCTGCGTTCCTTTTGGACGCTCACGCGCTGTAAGCGTTATTCTATCTTTATCGTTCATTAGATGCGGAAGAAAGATAGAGTGACGCTTATAAGCGCTTAAAGCGCATGAGCACCCAAAAGGAACACAGCCTATGACGTCGACGCGGCTAACTTTTATTCCAAGAAGACGCGTCGCCCGGCAAATTCAGTGTTTCCCGATCGAGCGGTTAAATATTCATCCCGCTAGGATGCTGACTGGACATCAAAGCGAGTCGATGCGCTCGCCCGGTTCGCGTACACGCTACGCGCGTAACCGGTCATCGTATCCGCGCTGAAGAATTCCAAATGATCACTCGTTATTCCCGACGAATAGCGAGTCCCACCGGGCGCGAGTGCCGACCGATGTTATCCTCCTCGTTGCAGGTTTCCTCGTGCGATCGTATGTTCGTTGAATTCATGCAAACGTCAATTGGATTTGTCAGCGTTTCATTGACGTTCACGTCGACGTTAACGACGACGATTATTCGTTATTGGGCGATCGTAAACAAGTATGCGAAATCATTCAGGGTTTTCGCTGCATTACATATTAGAGGAAAGTTCACGTCGTCAAATTTTGATGTTCACTCGGCTGAGTTGAGCGGCAGCTGCGATCGAGCTAATCCAAATAACGCGCTTGTCACGTTCTTGTTCGAGGGAACGATCGGCAGAGCTCTCTCGTTTCAGCCGAGAGAACGAGAGAACACGCCAGCGGAGATTTTACCTGTTGAGATTTTTTGTTAGGCGCGGTTTCTGGGCATTCCGGATCCGCCGGATTCAGACACGGCTTGCTCTGATAGCCATTCGTTATTCCGGCCCTCTTCATGTAGTCCTCGAGCGTTTTAAAGGGAAACGCGAACTGCAACTTCTTCATCTCGGCCAGCATACTGGAAGGATTCAGGTTCGTCCATTGGACGGGTTTGTTGTACGCCCCACTGCTTAACCGAAATAGAAATCTAAATAATTTTGTCGGGCATTAGCCATGTGTGATGTTCGGAAGATGTAATTAATACGATTAGGTTGGCGCGACAATTAACCCATCAAATGTCACAGTTGTCTCGCAACGTTCTTAACTGAAGCATCGGTCTGCTCAAAAGTCTCAAATTGGCATTAGAATTATTTAGATATCATATTGCAAATATAAATGGAAACTTGGCGCTGAAAACCAAAATGAAATTGCGTGCCAATCAAGTGATTTTATGCAATGAAATGAAAATGTTTCATAAATGGAACACTATGAACATCAATAGATTAAATGTCGACGTCGGATGAATTAAATAATCGTTAAGGAGTTTATTCACCACGTATGTCTTTTCAAGACATCCAAGGAGCATATTTAGAGTGACATATCAAGTGAGTTATTCATAAATTCATTATTTATCGAAAAAAGTGCGTCTTTATATATTTATTTCACCATACAAATAATAAATGTTAAACTAATTTCATCATACATTGAAAAAAAGATATCTAAGATCTAACAAATGCTCTTATTAGGCAAGTGCTTCTCCCCATTAACATATTTAAACCAAAATTCTTTTTTTACACTTAATATTATTTGCTGTTATTTATTACTAATAATAAATATTTGTTAATTTTTAAATATTTTTTCTCAATATACTATTTTTCACTTGATACACAATACTGCTCAAAATAAAACAGCAGTTTTCTGACTGACAATTAACCATTACACCAAAATAGCGCAAGGAATACTACTTTTTTCTATGCCGAGTTTCCTAATATACATTAGGAACGGTAAATTCTTTTATTTGGATATTACTTTTTACAAAATTACGTTGGAATAATGGTCATCTGTATTGCTTCCTACCGTAAAGTTTACGTGTGCAAAAAATTGCGATATTTGGTATAACAATTCCTCAGAAACGGCGCAGACAAATCGCATGAAACTACGAGGATATTTTGCTGCGAAAAATGTTACGTAAAATTGTTGTACAATTTCAAGCATTTCGTGTTGAGCGAACAAACTCCTTAAAGAATCGCCGGAGAGTCGATGGAAAATACTCACGGTATATGAACGGGATATTCCGGACCTAGAAGTTGGCTGCCTTCCCAAAAACAGTCAAGGGGCGTGATGATGGCGCACGGTATAATACTGTCGAAAATCTGCAAACAGAAAAAGAGATGAGCACGTCTTTTCGGGGGAGTAAAAGAATGCGTCTTGGCGCTCCTCTTCGATTAGCGCTACTGCTATTACTGCTACGCCACTACTACTATCTCGCAGGAAACATTCCGTGTAATGCGCGTGCAAAAGGGAGCAGCCGCGAGAGGGAATCGCCGCGCGCGCACAGACCGGTATTTACGGTGCGCAACACGCGTTTGCGTATAATGACGACGGAGGAGGAGGAGGAGGACGAGGAGGAGGAAGAGGAGGAGGAAGAAGAGGAGGAGGGGCCGGACCACACCTGACACGGTGCGTCCGTACCGCAACGGGACACCGCGCGCCGCGTCATTACCGGACGCTAATTGCTCGTTCTCGGCCCTTCGCAACCTCGCCCCGCGCCGTATGCAACCGATGCGGCGCGTGGACCTCCGCGTGCGCTTGCATACGTAAAGGCGCATTTGCATCTTAAGAGTGGATCGAACGAGCGCCAGTCTTCTTTCGACATATTTCGATATATAGTCGCATTTTCGATCACTGCTCTTCGCACCTGTCAAGCCGTCACATTCCTTTTTCCCCCGGCAATGTTCAGCAGAGAAAGCTGCTTTGCAACTGTCGCAAGATTCGTGAATCTGATCGACGTATGCGTGCATCTTAATCTTGACTGAATTCAGCAGCATGTACCAATCAGATTCACGAATTTTACAACAGTTGCGAAGCAGCCTCTTCTCTGGCTGAACGCAGCCAATGCGAGTGTAATCTCAGAAGGGAAATTTCTTCGTGAGAGAAAGAGTTTTCAGCATTGCCGAGACAGATAATTTTATTCCCGCCGTTTCCGTTTATTTATCCATTTCTTCGCTTTGATTTGACGTTCTTAACAGAGCGCAGGGATTAAACGGAAATTAAGTTACTTTACGAGCGGCAGAGAAGAGAGAACCTGTTTCAACGATATGCATTACAAGTACGACAGGGATTGCCTCTCAATTAGCATTCGGGCGAATAAACTCCGGCGGGCCGAAGTGTTTGAACAGCGTCTAGATGCAAGAGGTGTAATCCAAGATAATCTTATCCCGAAGTCGAATGCGAGACGAGCGGAGAGTTACGAAAGAACGCGGTGAGCACGGACCGCCCTATTCGAGTTTCCTGGAACCCGAAGGTGGGCTGTCGTAATGGCCTAGTACCCAGAAAAACCGTGTGACGATCGTTAATGTCGGTGTCGGTGCATTAGTCGGATCAAATTTTGTTTACCGTCGTACACAAAGTCATTTGCGCGCGTTTTGTATTTCTTTTGCCGCGGTAAACGAAACCATTTTATCGCGATTGTGACTCTGAAAAATATTTCTTCGAATCTCAGAGTTCCAGCTGCACAATGATTGCTCGGCGGTCACAAAAATAATGACTCCCGCGAAAAAAAAGAAAAGAAAAAGAAAACAAAGTCGGATAGAAAAAGAATCAAATCTCAGCACTTCGCAAATCTCCTTGCGCAAATGTAGTCTAAAAGTTAACGAAACTGAAACATAATTGTACGAGAGATGTTCTTCCAATTATTTCAAAAATTTCGCGGAGAACCCCACTCTCTCTCTCTCTCTCTCTCTCTCTCTCTCGCTCTTGTAGAAAGAGAGAGCCGTAGACAGCCGCGCTCTTGACCGTGAATACATTTCGATAGCGCGTAAAAAAACAGACTCTCGCGCGAAACACGTTTATAATGTCCCGGAAGCGGCCGGTGCCGGGCATCGTTCGCGAGGAGATCTCGAGAAATCGTGTTTTTCTTCTCGAAATGCTCTCAAACCATCGCGCTTCTCTAACGCGCTCGCTCGTTTACTTGCGCGCGAGCAGTTACTCACGGATGCAACATACACACGCGCAACTACTCGTATCACTCCGCAATAATGTTACCACGATGATAGTCGTCGATCGCGTCATCGATTTCAAACCATTTTCTTCCCGCCGCTTATATCCGCGAAATGTAATATTTCCAAAACGTCAAGCCTGCGTCAGACTAGATATTGCAGCTCGAAAACTGCGGAAATTTGTTTAATCAGGATAAAATCAATCGATTTAAATTTCTAATGAGAAATTTCTAGATCTATAAAAAATCCCTAAAATCAACCATTCTCATCTCTAATCCGCTGTCCAATTAATCTCCAATTAATCACTGAGCCTAACATGGTTAGATTCTATCATAGACTTAGAGAAAAAAATCTAAGAAATAGTAGATATTTATTTAACGATTAGATTAGGTTAGATTACACTATAGATTACACTAATAACATATTTATTTGCATTAATATATATAAAATATTTTTCAAACAAGAGAATACATACTTTTTCTTAAAAAGCCTTGAGAAAACCTTAGCTTTTCACAGAAGCAACTGTTTGCTCTGCTCATACACAAGAATTTAAGTGAATACGTTGTATCCCCATCAAAGAAATATTTATTGTTTTTCATATTTTTTTCTCTAATTCAAATTAATAATGATAAATTTGATTCGTCGCTCTTCATTATTGCTGATCGACAATCGATCAGCAATAACTGCCACTTATATTACTCGAGGTTAACGGACACGTCGCGCATGTGTCACGTGCGCGCATCGATGTCTCCGCTAGAGGTCTAATGGGAGCGAGACGGTGCGTAGCACGCGCGCGCGCCATTCATACGGCATACGTGCGTGCGCGCGCGCGTGCACGCATGCCTGTCGCGAGTGCGTATGCGTCGTGTACGCGCGTTTCAATTACCTGATCGATGTAGTGCAGGTCGAAGTTAGGTATGCTCGGCGCGTAACACAAGTCCTTCAGTCTCCACGTGCTGCAAATGACAGATAGATACACACGTCAATGCGCGAGAGTGCTGCTTGTGTCGTTTTATAGACGCGTAAATAACGCGTTTTGGCGACTGTTTACTCTCTAAATGTCTCGGAGCGAAGTCGCACTCGAAGCGACAGCGAGAATACCGCGTCGTCCCACTCGGAATCACACGGCTGGATGTTTAACTCAAACATTCCGAGTGGGTTCTCCCGTCTATGCGAGTGAACGTTTCAATCGGCTCGAGTAAATTTGTTTCAGCGACGAGGTGCAAGCACATCACAGATCCGCTGTTTAATTTTGAATGAGAATACTCATTCGACGCGTCTCATTGAGAAGAGAACTCGCTCTATACTTGGAGTGACTTGTCACTCCGCCTTCGGAATGCAATTTCACTCGGAACGATTGAAAGAATATTTAAACGATTTAAAGCAATTCAAAGACTTTACACGGGAGATTAATCGATTTCGATGCATCCCTCCTGTTCGGAAAGGAATGTTCGGAGGCAACACGTGAACATTTGAACGTCCTTTTGCATCCGAAGGTTCATTTACATCGCCGTTACGTGAAATAATCTAATCGCATCTTAATTGGTCCGGTTTTCAAATTAAAGAACGTCGCGTGCGAGCGGAATCGATGCTCCTTTGCCGTATTCAAATGAGAGTGCGCGGAGAAGGGTAGGTAGCTGGGCAGGGAGTCGTTCGCAACGGAGAATACTTACATCTCAAACAGGTGCACCTTAACCTGCGTCGCAGCCTTCAGGACCGTCAAATGTTCCTTGAGCGCGGTCGGGTGCAAGATATTTGCCCCGGAATGCCTCGGTGTCTGGATGACGAGCTGGTGCGTCGAGGCGGCGGCTTCGCCGAGAGCCTCCGAGGCGTAGGTCAGCTCTTTCTGTAACCTTCCGCCTTCTGCAACAGGTCGAGTCGCGGCCGATTAGTTTATAGACAAATTAATATTATCACACTTAGAAAAACAAGTGAGGATTCAATGAGGTTCTATCTGAACGAGTAAAATTTGTTCAAGCAAACATTTAGTCGATTGGACGACTTATATAATTGCTGCTATGCGAATTATCGATCGACTTAACGATTGGAATTTGGTCGATGACTATATCAACACAACTCACATTGCATTAAGATGTAATCTGTTCCAACAGATATGATGTCTTTTTAAGACCAACAGAACGATTTTATCGATTTAACTGCCTTTTTTCTCAGTGCACTGATTGATCTAAACTTTGAAGTTGCTATGATGGGTTTTAAGGTAAATCTTATTGTTTTGATCTCGAATTCTTAACTTTCAACGTAGAATATATGTATATATATATATATATATATATATATATATATATATATATATATATATATATATATAT